GGTCATCATCCCATTGGCTAACTTCCTCGGCTTTCCAGAGGGAATCCCAAGCTCTGCCACTCCTCTGCCCTCTGACCTGGACCGGCCGGACTTCGTTCCCCCCGCCCCTCCTTCCGTCCGTTCCGCCTCCTCCTGACGCTCCTGACTCTCCTGACTCCTGAGTTCCCTGCGGCCCGTCCCGGTGCGAATAATTCCGGGCCTCCTAAGCTTCTCCCTCTCTTCAACCCCCCCCCTTTACTAACCCCCCCTCCCCCCCTCCCTTTTCTCATCATGTCGCCCGTCACCGCAAACCTCATCCGCTCCTCCCTCCGTCAGGCTTCTGTCTACTCCCGTCTCAACATCGCCACTGCTCCTGCCTTTACTCGCCCTGCTGCCCCTTCCCTCTTCGTCTCCAATAACAGATTCCGCACAATGGCTTCCGAGGCTTTCCAGAAGATCAAGGTCAAGAACCCCGTCGTCGAGCTCGATGGCGATGAGATGACCCGCATCATCTGGCAGGACATCAAGGAGAAGTTCATTTACCCCTTCCTTGACATCGACCTCAAGTACTATGACTTGGGTCTCGAGTACCGTGACCAGACCAACGACCAGGTCACTATTGATGCCGCCGAGGCCATCAAGAAGTACTCCGTCGGTGTTAAGTGCGCTACCATCACTCCCGATGAGGCTCGTGTAGAGGAGTTCAAGCTCAAGCAGAGTAAGTTTTGTTTTCCATCTTGGAGATTTCCACGCAGAAAGCGAAGCGCTGCACGGCGCATATCGACGCATTGGCTAACATGGTTTGTGCGCGTTAGTGTGGCTGTCCCCCAACGGCACCATCCGCAATGCTCTCGGTGGCACTGTTTTCCGTGAGCCCATCGTCATTCCCCGCGTCCCTCGCCTGGTGCCCGGCTGGAAGAAGCCCATCATTATTGGCCGCCACGCCTTTGGTGACCAGTACCGCGCCAAGGACCTCGTCGCTCCCGGCCCCGGTAAGCTCCAGATGGTCTACACCCCCGAGGGTGGTGAGCCCCAGGTCATCGACGTCTTCGACTACAAGAACGGCGGCGGTGTTGCCCAGACCCAATACAACACTGATGAGTCCATCGAGGGCTTCGCCCACGCTTCCTTCAAGCTTGCTCTTGACAAGGGTCTTCCCCTCTACATGAGCACCAAGAACACCATCCTCAAGAAGTACGATGGCCGCTTCAAGGATATCTTCCAGCAGATCTACGACACCCAGTACAAGGAGGCTTTCGAGGCCAAGAAGATCTGGTACGAGCACCGTCTCATCGACGACATGGTCGCCCAGATGATCAAGAGCTCCGGTGGCTACATCATGGCCCTCAAGAGTAAGTCTCCGAATTCCCGCAACAACCGGTTGGGGAAGCAAACTCTAACCGAAAATCCCTCTTCACAGACTATGATGGTGATGTCCAGTCCGATATCGTTGCTCAGGGCTTCGGCTCCCTCGGTCTCATGACCTCCGTCCTCATCACCCCCGATGGTAAGACCTTCGAGTCCGAGGCTGCCCACGGTACCGTCACTCGCCACTACCGCGAGCACCAGAAGGGTAACCAGACCTCCACCAACCCCATTGCCTCCATCTTCGCCTGGACCCGTGGTCTTGTCCAGCGTGGCAAGCTCGACAACACTCCCGAGCTCATTGCTTTCGCTGAGGCTCTCGAGAAGGCCTGCATTGACACCGTCGATATCGATGGCATCATGACCAAGGATCTCGCGCTTGCCTGCGGCAAGACCGGCCGTGAGGATTGGGTCACCACCTCCGAGTACATGGCTGCCGTCGAGCGCCGCCTCAAGAGCACTCTCAAGGAGAAGCTCTAAGCCACACTACCCTGAGGCATTCTTAAACACCTCTCCAAAAAGGAATGGAACAAGTCGGACGTGAGATGACGGTTGGATCAGCTGCCCCAGTGGACCGGGTAAACGGTCTAGTTCTGCTGCACCCGCAGGCGAAAGGAGATGCACGGAACAGGGGATTGAAAAGTAAAGACGAAAACAGCATCGTCCTGGATATCATCTTTTGGTTTACGCATTAAAGTGCATTCATTGCATTTGCGCCTTGCGTCTTGCGTCTTTTACACCCCACCAACATGAGGGATCAAGGCAAGGAGTCATCGGTATAATTCGCTGGCATTGTCATTGCTGTACCATCCATTTCGGAGTTTTTGGAAATCGGCGGGCATCTTGTACATAGGCTTACAGCATCTTTATGAACAAATTCAAAGAGTAAAATACCCTTCAAACAAAACCATATCTTTTATTTACTTACGTATTTTCTGTTTACTTGGTGTTCTCCCACGTTCCGGTATTTGTTTTGTCCTGGCTTTTCGAATTAGTAGATCAGCTACACTTTTCTTGTAGGGTGCTATTTCTAGTTTCAAACGTTGGCTACGTATACAAACAGCACCACTATTTTCTATGGTCGACAATAAACAATCCCGCCCACTCTGACTGAACTCGCATCACTTCAAGCCATGAAATCTCACAGACGAGAATCGTTCATGTATCCTTGGTCCCTGGTGGACGGATGCTGGATGAGGACCCATTCGAAGACTAGAAACATGGAACACTGCTGAAAAGCCGAAGTGTGTATGAATGATAAGTAATCCTCGTACCCGAAATCTATTCCTGATTACCCCCATCTTGAAAACATGCACATGCATTCCCGATTGTTCTTGGTGAGCCACTGCCAAAAAGCGCGTGGTGAGAACTTGAACGCCACAACTAGCCGGCCGCCCGGAACAAATATACGAAGAACCCGCTGAAGGACGTTAGGGGTCACTGCTATTATTCAAACACCCACCCTCATTCACGATATGCCATCACGGCGTCCTGTCTCACCCACTAATCATTGGCTTTTGAGGCTTCAACACTGGCTCCGGCGCTCTTTCGCGGCCTTTTAGTACCCGATGTAGGCGTAGCCTCCCCGCCGCCGCCTTCGCTCTTACGCTTCTTCTTGGTCGGCCGACTTGACCCACCCTTGGGCCTGTAGCCCGGATCATCGTCCACAACCCGCTTTCGCTTGCCTTTTGTTGTACTCGGTGTCACCGCCGCCTCCAAGTTGTTATCTTCGTCCAAGTATTCGGGCGCCTCAACGACAACAGCGGCGGACTTGGCGCCGCCCCTCTTTGTACGAGCCAAGTTCGAGTCGCCCCGACCACCACGGCCCCCTGACGTACCGCCACGCTCGCCTTTAGCCCGTCCGCCGCGACCCGAGGTGGTGCCGCGAGACTCACCGTGGTCGTTGTCATCCCCGTGGGCCTCTGTATCTTGTAGAAATGTCTTGGGCGCATGTTTCCGCAGCCAGTTGTAGACAGATGTCGGATTGCGTAGCTGAAAGTCCCGGGAGGCGAGCAGACCACTCTCCTTCGCGTTGGTGGCGGCGCTGTTCGGCTGGGCAATCGGTGCGAGGGTAGGCAAGGCCGGAGGAGGCGACACACCAGTCTCGGTGGCCTCTTTTCTCGCCAGCCGTTGGTCAATCTCCCAAATGTAGTTATCGATATCGTCCGCCGTGAGAAATGAAGGCGGGTGGGGCTGTCCCTGGAACGGATCGGCTGGCGAGTCGCGGCCGGCTTCGAGGTCGCGGAGGAGCTCCGGAAAGCACTCGGCAGCTTGGGAAAACCGCATGTGCGGCACATCTTGGAGGAGTTCCTTGTAGGATTTCGAGGGCCGGATGCCGCCCGGAGGCGTGGAAGGCCTATCGATGTCCAGGTATAGACCTTCTTTATTGGAAGGTGCCTTGACGCTCAAATCGAAGCGCTTCTCTGGTGGGATCTGGTTGGAATTGTTGACGTCGAGAAGGAGATCGAGAAGACGGCTGTAAATTAGACATGCGTGGTTAGCAGAGGATGCCGACAAGGTCGATGGAGAGTTCGATAATCCTACTCCTTCTGAATGGCTAGTCGCCGGGCGGTTGCTAGGGCCTTTTGCTCGGCCTTGTACAGCTCCTCGCCTTCATGCATCTTCTGATCAAAGGTTATACGCATCTTGCGATACTTCTTCTTCCACGACCGATAGGTCGGTTTGTCGTCAGCCATCCTCGTGTCGATAGAATCATCGTCGCCTCCCCTGTGGCTCAACTCAGTGCGGCCGCGCGGGTCGACCTCCATTTTGGAGAAAAGAGGGATGGCTGGGATCGGGAAATTGACTGCTTGGTTGCGGCTTGTAATCGTCTACCGATGCACGTCGTGAGAATGGAATGGGTGGTGCGTGGAAGATTGGGTTTCGGAATAAATCGTGGCGCGGTGTCGAGCTGATGGTTTGGTCAATCAATGACGAAGGGAAAATGTTGTTTTGCAACCTGAGTAGATGGCCGGTTCCAGCGAAGGTTGCGGCTTGTTTGTTGGATCGCGTGTAGTGCCATGCTAGTGTTGCCTGCACCGCTTGGTACACTGCACTCAAGGATGCTGTTAGTGTAGAGGTACCTTCGCCGCGAGAGTATTTACCCTTCCGTTCTCGCGTAACAAAAAGCTTGAAAAACCCTGGCGTCCTCTTGCCATCTTCAGCTTCGTGCCTGCCGGGATGCGGATCAGTGCGTATAGCCTCCCTTTACAATCATGTCACTGGGAATGGACGCGCGGTAGATTGAGGCGAAACTGTCTGCTGACACGCTGCGATGTACATACTCAACACTAACAGAATGCGTTCCATAGTAACAATGTAGAGACGGTTGGCTACACTCTTTGCTCGCCTGTCAGGCTACCTACCTAGCCGGGCTGCCATGCCCCTGTACTGGAAAATATAGGCCAGAGGCTATCCACAATCTAATCGATAGCGCGCTAGTGTAGAAGTACGTACACTAGTGAAAGTACTAATCACTCAGATAATGGAGCTGCTGTGTACAAGTCGGGCTGTTGTTTGTTGTCAGTGGGGGAGAAGAGGGGGGGTGGGAAATAAGATTCCTTCCATTCTTCCAAAACGAACCCTACCTTCCACCGCTTGACACCGAAATTCTCTTCCAAAGGGTTCATGTTCACTCGTCCACTAGCATTTCTCAGAACAATGGCCGAAAACGCAGCGAAGCGCATCAAGACCGATGGCGGTGCCCTGACCATCGGCACCCACAACGGCCACTTCCACGCCGACGAGGCTCTGGCCGTCCACATGCTTCGCCAGCATGTTCCCAAATACACCGGCGCCCGCCTGGTTCGCACCCGCGACCCTGCGCTACTTGAGACCTGCGACATCGTCGTCGATGTTGGTGGCGAGTACGAGCCCGCCCGTGACCGCTACGACCACCACCAGCGCACCTTCACCACCACCTTCCCCGACCATCAGACAAAGCTCAGCAGCGCCGGTCTCGTCTACATGCACTTTGGCAAGGGTATCATCTCGCGCAGCCTGCCCGACGCCCCTGCGGAGGACAACGACAAGGTTGGCTTGATCTGGAACAAGTTGTACGACAGCTTCGTCGAGGCCCTCGACGCTCATGACAACGGCATCAGCGTCTACGATTCCGATGCTCTCAAGGCTGCCGGCATCGAGAAGCGCTTCTCTAACGGCGGTTTCACCCTCGGTGCCATGGTCGGCCGCTTCAATGGCAACTGGAACGATCCCGTCCCCTCGGACCCTGTGGCTGCCCAGGCGGAGGAAGATGGCAGGTTCGAGCAGGCCAGTCAGCGTATCGGTGAGGAGTTCGACCGCGCTCTCGACTACTACACCAAGGCTTGGCTCCCGGCCAGGGATGTCGTCGAGACGGCCTACAAGGCCCGCAAAGAGTACGATGCAGAGGGTAGAATCCTTGTCTTAAAGGGCCAGTCGGCCCCTTGGAAGGATCATCTCTATACCCTGGAAGAGGAAGAGGGAGAGCGCGTCCAGAAGGTTCTCTATGTCCTGTACCCCGAGAAGCCTACACCCGACGCCAAGTGGAGAGTGCAGTGCGTGCCTGAGACTGGCGACTCCTTCCAGAGCCGCAAGCCCCTGCCCGAGGCTTGGAGAGGCTTCCGCGATGAGAAGCTCGATGAGATCACGCAAATCCAGGGCGGCATTTTCGTTCATGCGGCAGGTTTCATTGGAGGCAACAAGACCTTCGATGGTGCGTTGGCCATGGCGAAGAAGGCCTTGGAGTAGGAATCCAGCGCTGCTATGAAGATTGGCAAGCTCGTAGGCGTTTGTTGAAAAAGAACTCAACTTGATCTCCTCCCGCTGTTTAAGGCAGAAAAAAGTATCACCGTCTTCGCGTTTAGCACTATCAGTCCATATCCTGAAAACATATTTGTAAAACATATTTGTTCTTGTTCACGACGTTGACCGGCTTCATGACGTGCCGTCTGAGCACTGCGATCGATCCCATCTGTGCCCTTATGAACATAGACATTGAAGATGGACTTCAGAGCAGCACGCGCTGTCATGACAAAAGATAGACCCGACTCGACCAAACCACTCGAAACATAGATCACGAAACCCTAACCCATTCATATCTCATTCAAACAAAAAAATCTTACACTGAATAACGTCAAACCCAACGCCACAAACCCCAAGACGTGATCTCATACTCATGCTATGCGTGACTGCTTAATTGCCGTGTGCTGGTGAGTGTTCTTGGTTACACGGTAGAACGAGATGCTCGACAAATGGTTTCGAGGAGGCGGAACCTCCGTCGAACGCCATGCGCCTGTTTCTCTGGATGGTTTATTGTCGGATAGGGATGGGCTCTTGCTGACCAGCAGGCGCAGCTGAGATGGTGTCTGGGGCGGCTTGCTCTTGCTGTTGTCTGGCCTCTGTATTGTGTTCGTTGCTGTTGAGAGCGTCGATTTCCTCGGTGTTCAGCCCGCGGCTGAAGTAAGTGCTTTCCTTAACAGGGCTGCCGGCTTGAGGACCCATGTTGCTGTGCTGATGAACAATGTGATGAGCTTGCGCCAGGCCGCTGGCACCGTTGATAGCACCGCAAGGGTTCGTCAAATGGGGAATGTTCTCGGGGACGGGGTGCTGGCTGCCTACTGAGCCCGTGTCGACACCGTCGCCCTTGCCAGCCTTGCTCATGGCATAGTCGCCGCTATCAAAGTACTTGCGCTCCTTGAGATGCTTGGCGAAATGGTCGCTGCGGCTGGGCAGCTTGCCGTACAGACGGAACAGGCGTTGTTCCTCAGGGGAGAGCGACTGTAAAATTTGGCGAACCGTCAGCGTCGCTATCATGGCGCGAGTTTTGCGAGTTGTTGTGTTGTGCTGGGAGCCCGCAATGCTTCATGGCGTCGGTTGATGGTATCGCAGTTGGGTGGTGTCTTTTTCCGAGCCTGATCGCGGCCGGCTGAAGTGGTCTGATGGAGTTGTTGCTGCGCTGACGGATGATGTCAACCTACCTGAATATCAACCTTCTTTGCCTGGTGGGGATTCATGGCTGCAGTTCAAAGTCGGGCTCTTTGCTATGCGCTCAATCGCTGGTTCTTCTCGAGGCCGTTATCACAATGGATCGATCACCCGGTGCTATGGGCCCTTTCAGTCTCGCTGGGTTCTGCTGGCTGTCGTTCGCTTGTGATGGCCGCAGAACGTCGAAGACGGGGCGACTGGAATGATGCAGGACGTCGATGGAAGCGTGTGGATGCACGACAAAGATACGGTATGGGTGTGCTTGCTAGGGAGTCCGCGTTGTCATCTGGTGTTCTCACTTGCACTTGGAAGGATAGGTGAAGGAGGGGCGACGCAGACGGGAAGATGGGGTCAAGACGGAGGCGTGACCACCAACTCTTGGAGGTGGGACAGACAGGTGGGACACTTGAAGCTACGCAGTGCGGCAAGTCGACGTGCAGCAATGCCTGCCGGGACTGCAAGTACCTTAATGAGGCGGTGACGGTGCCCGTCTCTCTTCTTACGTCCTGTCCCGCCCTGTCCCGAGGGCAGAGGTACCTAGAGGTAGCCACTCTTATTACCTAACCACATAGGCTCAGCCGGAAGCTCGTGCACAATTGTCGGTTTCGATACCAGATGGTCTAGGCGCTGCGCTAACTGAAAGGGTGCTGTTGGAGATCCAAGTCGAGGCAGCTAAAGTCACGGTGTGTTCAGATAGAGTCACGGTATCTGAACCTAAAGGGGATGTCCCTTCATCCCGCCGTTATATACACTGACCAGACCTCTATGAAAGTTCGGCGATTTGGCCTAGAACATACCACATCGCTTACGCTGGTACGAAATTAAAGTATCTACTTTTAGTACAACCCAACATAGTCTTCGTCGTACCGTAAGTCGATTTATATTGGCGGCTCAAACCTAACATTGTAAATTCAATTCTCTCCAGTCATTAACTAAAAAATGTACCATCTGTACGCGCATGTCGGGACATCCCCTTTAGGCTTAGATACCGTGACTTTATCTGGGTACACCAAGACTTTAGCTGCTTCGATCCAAGTGACTTTGCCTTTCCTTTTCCGGTCTTGGAGTGCCCTCCTAGTACGCTCCTGCCCGAACAAGTCGAAACCGTCGCTCTTTTCTCATCATTTCTACTCTCAGCATAAAGGATACCTAGCCATAGCTAGTTCATGAAACCTACGACGGGTAACCGCATCATTGCACAAAATCCCCGCTTCTCAAAATTCCATCTCGCTTGTGCGGAATAAAGACCAAGCCGATCTCCATAGGACATGGTTACCTTCCGCCATGTTGCTGTTCGAGAAGAGGGAACCGACTACAGAGAATGTCAGACACCCAGTCGAGCTAGGATGGCCCAAAGGCCTAATGAACCTACCGTATAAACTCGCGAAATTGACTTTCGGGTAGACACTTTTCATGTAGGCAAAAGCAGGGTTAAAGGTGGGAAGAAGCAGTGAAGAAGCATGCACATAGTGGACCGACACCTCTAACCCTACTTATACCTACATGAAAAGTGTTTACCCGAAAGTCAATTTCGCGAGATTATACGGTACCAGGTACCGTAGAAACGTTGGTTAGTTGGCAAAAAGCTAATGCCTGAGAAACCTGGATATCAGCCAAGGTGCTGGCGAGCCTGTGCTCGAAAACGCAAGCAAGCTAATGGTGGACAGTGTTGTAGAGGTTTTCACGAACTGAGCCGACATATGTACAGACGTGTGCTGCTTCCCATACTTACTGTCGGGCGCTCAAAGAGGGATGGCTTTTTGCCAACTAAACGTGTTTCTACGGTACGTAATGCCACGAGGGTACCTGCAGTGGTCTGTAGTTTTCACGGGTCACCAGGTCTGTTAGCTGTTCCCTATGACAGGTGCTTTGTTTCATCCAGCTTATGTATGTCCGCCAGTACAGTAGTTTGATGTGAAGCGGCAGTTTGGGACAGCCAATCAAAGAGTTGTTGTCTTCAAGCATGTACAAACAAACATCTAACCTTCCAGGAGATCAAGGCACATATCTCATATGTCCAATTCCCTTCCTCGTGTGTCTTGACTCTACCAGATACGCCCCAGTATAGTGAGTCAAGCCAGCAGTTCTTGTCATCCTGTCCATGATCAAGCGCATCTTGATATTACGCATCAAGAACGGAGCTCCTTTCATACCTACTCTCAACTCAGCCCTTCAGGAAGGCAGTGCCAACAACGCAAATGTCCCGCCTACGACAGGCCTGGCCACAAACGTCGGTCCGTCCTGCGGATACCCACCTGTCTCCGCATCATACAGATCTGTCATGGCTCGATTCGTTGTCGTGTTGCCGATCCAATCTGCGAGCTTGTTAATTAGCAGTGCCTTGGTGTCTGGGCTGGCAACTGCCGCCGCAAACATCATCCAGTCTGACTTGGTCCAGGTGTGGCGTGTATCGAGCGGGACGGCGTATTTCATCGCAATGCTTTGGTAGAATCTAGACTGCATGTCGAAAATCGACTGGTCGACAAAGTTGAGGTCCAAGAGCTTATCTGCGTATATGTTGTAGAGAAGACCTGTTGTTCTCTGTTAGATACTGCATCGTGCTAAAAGAGTTTACATGCGACACATCAGGAAGCAAGTAAACAAAGCGAAAGGAGGGAAATGTCCTCACCATAGCTGTTCTTGTCACCATAGCTCAAAGTCGTGTGCGGGAGGTCGGTCTCATTGTTGATGGCTAGAACCTTCCATTGCTCCAGGTACTCATCTGCGATCGCACCCCAGTTATCGCTGCTGGAAGTTAAATTGGCAATTCTACTCATGGCCTTGAGGCCTATGATGCCTTTAATGGCCAAGTTTGTTTGATTTCTAGACACAATATTTGTCAGTCATATTCAGTATAAAAGTTGAACAGGACGTGAACATACGCCAAGGTACCGGCAAAATCGTCCGTGCTGAGCTGGTTAGACGGGATTAACGAGTCCTCGACCAGGAACTCTGCCCATCGCGAGAGTATCGGGTAGTGTTTCTCGAGATAGCTGCTGTCGCCCGTGCGCTCGGCGTAGGCCAGCGTCATGATGACCATGTTTCCGCACTCCTCCAGCGGCATTGGCTCGTCATTGCCAGAGGGATAACCTTTCGCAACAGGAAAAGTTCCCAGGTCGTGCTCGGCCCATTTGTTCGGGTACGCTCCGCTCTGCTGGTTCTCGAACAAGGGATCAAGCAGGTACCTTGCGAGTGTTGCATTCAGGTAAAGCAAAATAGGGTATGCCGGAAATATGACATCAACCGTTTGGATGTCGCTGTTGGAGCTGATTTCTTTCAAGAAGATGTAGGGCTTTGAGGGCGTACCGCCGAACTGAAGTGCCCCAAAGCTTTGGCGAACTGAAAGCGTCGTGATAGTCGCGTAATTTTGGCCGCCGACTTTGACCGAGTCCTGCTGAATCCTGTTATCTAGTTCACTGCTGTGACTAGTTGCATACTGGTAATCGTCGTAAAAGGCGTCAATGGCCCGTTGGTCATCGTGATTGAAGTAAGACTGCCACAGTCCAGGGACGGCATCGAGGGTTTTGTTGATGCCTGCGAAGTGGATGACATTGTCTTGAATCAAGCCCAACGTGAAAAGCCGTTCTATATCACTGCTCCCAACGTTGCCAAGGTCGTGGGAGAATCCAAATACCGGCCTAGGATGGTCAGGTGTGGTTCGTAACACAGAAACTGAATCTTGTGGCGGGGAACTCACCAGTTTTCCTGAACAGCTCTGAAAGTGTCATCTACGGTATTGGTCAGAGTTTGGTTGCTTGCAAACTGACTTCGTACGAGTTGGTCTGAGCCTATTTGCCAACTTAGCTGCAGCAGACTGTTAGTTAACCGTATAATCTACTTCACTCGGATTTTCCAGCTTGACTGAATGATTGTACTTACGCCACTGTCGGAACCAGTAGTAAAGTACCATCTTCCCCAAGCTGCGATCTCGCCATTCTCGCCGTACTCGACTTGCTCGGTCCGTTCGAATGTATGGTAATCCAGCTTGTTGGTTTTGTCATGAGCCCAAGTGATCTTCTGGGAAAGATCGCCGCTTGCCCATTCTTTGGATCATCATTAGCTCGACAGGCAACCACATCAGCAGCACGGAAATGGTGTAATTTGAAATGAGTACTAACCTCCAGAAACATCCATATATAGCCGGACATCATGAGTCTCTCCGTCGGCAGATTTGGCCTTTGCAGATATGTACGAAAACTGCTGCGATTGCCTGGAAAGATCATCTGCAAACACCGGAGATAAAAAGGTGACAGTAAGGTTGACTTTGCCGTCCACGTCAAAGACGAATATGCTCTTTGTTGACGTATACTCCAAGGACACTTGCTTGACGACCGGATTCTGAAAGGCCTTTCCCATCCAGTTGAACACCTTGCCATCGACTGCGACCAGGCCCTGCCACCCCAAAGTCTGTGTACTACACGAATGCAAGATTTAATTAGTGGGTGATAGCAACGCCAAGTGTGCGGACGACTGACACTTACGTCCAGTGTCGTGGCCAATTATCCGGAAGCAAGCACTCAGGCTCACATTGTAGCCACGAGTTCAGATATGGTGTCCGCACTGCCATCGGTACCGCCGGGGGCCTCGCAGGTTTATAAGTTGAGGCATGCACAGTAGCCATTCCGCAACACATTGCAGCCACGATGGCCGCAATCTTCGGATACCACATTGCGAGGAGGACCATGAGGGGGTCTCGGAAAGGCGAATGGCGGACCAAAGAGACGATAAACTTAAGGAGTTGCCCGATGCTTGCGGAGCTACTGATGTGCGTTTCGGAAATACTAATGCAGGCAGAAGGGGCTGTCCTGGGTTGACAAATGTGGGAGAGCTGCAAGTTAGGGGTCTGTGAGGGTGGACGGACACAACCCAGATGTTATATGGAAAGAAAGACTTAAAAGATGAAATCAGTCGACACGAGCTTGGGAGGTAACGGGACCAGATTTTTATTAGTCATAAGGAGCTGCCGGTCCATATCGTGACAAACAGAAATCATCGTCGATGCCTGGTTCTCCAACTGGTAGGTTGCCTGAACCAGAATATGACGGGGACAGGTGAGCATAGCGTTGCTATGGTTTGACGGCCATCGAGAAGGCTTGACTCAAGACATGGATGAAGGCCAGACCTGAACGTCTGTTGATCAAGGTTGTTAGTATAGTATTTCTCCCCAACCGGGCAAGCTTGACCATCGAGGTCGGCACGAGCATTGTACCCTCCTGCATGATGTCGATGCGCATGTCGTGACTGCGGGAGATCTACAGTAGCATCTTGGCGAACAAGACATATCCACAACCTCTCACCTATAAGGCTCCGAGAAACACCGGAAGATCGACCCGGATAATCCGACTGTGTGCGAAATCAAACGGCATATGTGGAGTAGTCTCAGCTCTCAGACCCACTCCCTCCTGACTTCCTCCTGGACAAATGCACCAGCAAGTGTCGCCTTGTCTTATAAGTCTACATGCAGCCTGACCTAAGACGGGCCTCAACGTTGGCCTATGTACCTCCGCATCACGACGGGATACCAGGAGAAGACACAAAAGACCAATCGGTTGTCTAGGAATGACCCATGAGCATGCGCTGTCCATAGCAAATCGAGGATATTCGTCGAAGAGGAGGTTGGAATGTCGTTCGACCCTGGGAAGAATAATATGTCTCGTGGGGACTGCTGAATCCACAATGTGGGCAATGAGTTCGTGAACCCAAGAGACCAAGCGTTGACAACAGCAGTATCACAGCAGGATCCCGAAATCGTTACCTCCTACGAAACGATTGATGAGGAGGCACAAGAAGCACATGGAAAATGGATGTGAACACCCGAAAATCATATGTCCGCAGCTATTGCGGTTGTCGTTGTCTGAAGAAGGAAAGTGAACTTGAGAACCTGCTCTGCATGAGAGGTAGGATCTTTGATGGAAGCTGGACTAACGTATGTAAGCCTGGGCCACCAGTTGATGATCGAGTGAGCGGATAGAAAACTACGAGGATCAAGGTCTCTCAAGGTCACCCACGAGGGAATAGAATGTAGCCGTGGCTCAAATCAATCGTTGAAAATTAAATTCTTTGTAGATCGCTAACAAATTAGTAAGGAGTGTACACAAAATCGAATGCGCCCTCTGAACGCGTGTGCAGACATCCAACTAACCCGGCACGTTCGAGGGTACGAGCCTCCAACCAAGCATATTCCGAGGCAATAGCGCTTGGTAGGGCGGTACCCATCTTCAAAACCCCCCACTGCAGATGTTAGTCTCACAACTTCAATATGTGGTTGTTGATTCGTAACGTTCGAGAATCTCATACATGATGCCGCGGGGTTTGGACGTTGCACGGTTGATGGAAAGCTTCCACTTTTGTTCCTCAACTAGTCGGTTGAGGTGACTAGCCACAAACCAGGATCGATATGCCGGTACGATGATAGGCACGAAGGCTTGCGAGAGCCTCACTGAGGCGGGCAGACGGTGCGTCATGCGTACTGCAATGACACCCAAGTGGTAGGTGTGTCTAGAGTGTCCGCGTCCTGGCCGTTGTACCAGTCCATCACTCCTTTCGGGTCTGACAGGTGATTCATGCGAGGATATGTGGCTGTTCCTATCGACCGCAAGAGGGTGCTTGCTTGCGTCTCAAGCTTCGTGTTTCGTCCTGTCTTCTTCTTGTTGCAAAGCTATTGAGTACCGTCGTTGGTCATGATATGCTGGTGCGGTGTGTATGAGATTCAGATCATGAGACCGAAAGAAACCGGTCAGTTGGGAATTAAGGCAGCGAAGGCTATTGTGCGTCAGATGCATTTTGGAGAAGCGCATGCTGCGCGGCAGGATTTGAGCCCCCAAAATGATACGCTCATTCAGCCAGGAGTGGCTGGGAAGTTTTGGGATCCTCGACAAGATTGCTGGCCGTTCTGCGACAGAACTCCATCATATACGCCTTGTTTAAGGCTGTGTGACGTTCCATTGCCTTGTACACTCACTGTTGGGAACCAGTGCTTGGTTGGCTCTCAGCAAATGTGTATGCAGTATTGGAATGAAGTGGGAGTCCGTCGTCCTATGTCTCATTGTCGTAATAGATCTACGCAAACCGACTTCTCTGGAAGGTCGCATGATTTGTGACCGTGATCGTGACCAAGATGTACTTGTAGGTCTGGAACAATCCAACCCCCCACAATACTCGACTATCTCCATGGTCCGACTAAGCGAGGAGTTTGATTATACAATATTCGTCAGTCGCATGACCCTTCCTGGGATCAGCAACGAGTCGAACAGTATCGTCATAAGACACCCCTAAACTTCGGTTAGACGTTGACATATCGGCTGTCGGTCACACAAATTCTGAAAGCCAATGCATGGCTTCTGAGTCAGGTTATTGGGCAGATCAGGGAACCGCAGGGCAGCCGTTCTCGTGAGCCCGTATCTCTTCGAAGAAGAGCCCATCCTTTGAGAGCACAGCTATGCCGGAGTGTCGCCGTGTCACGCGCAAGCTTGAAGCGTTGTTGGCGCCCACCTGCTTTTGGTGTTACGGACAAACACCTTTGTTATATATCTTGATTCATCTGCAACATGCTGCTTAGTGTCAACGCGGTCCTTCGATGCATTGTATCCCGGGATTTGGAAGGCAGTGCGATGTAGAAGGAGGGCGGAAAGGGTGGTGAATGATACCTATACGCTTTTGATGGAAGACGCCGTGGCCGTTCTGATACCGACTTGCGGTGATGTTTTGACTTGAGAACAGCCTGAGCAGTATCGGTCTACAGAATAACGGGCAGGGAATTTTACAAGGGTCACAATCCTTCCTTCGCAAGCATATCGGCAATGTCGAGATAAAAGGCGATTGCATTAAAACTGGGGTCAACGGAGTCAGAAAGGCCCCAGAATAAGGGAAGGAAAGTCGAGCTGAGCGGCTTGAAAACTTACGTGGGCGGCCTGCCCATCCACCTTTGCAAGGTGAAGCGGAATCTATTGCTCCAGTTGATAAGATCAAGATGGTTCACGCCAGAGAGCGTTCCTTTGTACGTGCCCCACTGGCTGCTCTGTACACTGACGAGACCATCATTGGGCCCCTCAATGCCGTGAATAATTCCGTGGGAAAGGCGGAAAGGGCTGAGGAGTGGTGGTTTCTCATGGACCATGGCTCCGTACGAGAAGTAACGGACCTCGGGGTCATCGGGTGTCTTGGGGTTAAAATCTTCAGTCATGTACCTTTTGGTCAGCTGGTTGAAAGCGCCCGTCTCGAAGCCGGTGATGCGCTCCCATATGTTGTAAAGACTGGGCAAGCGTTCAGGCCCAATTTCATCCATCAAATAGTCGGCGAAGGTGCTGCCATGGTGGGGGGTCGCGACGGTGACGAGCGATTTGACCCTTACACCGGCGGGTTTAAGCTGCGAGATCATATATCGAGCATCCAAACCGCCCATGCTGTGTGCTATGATGTTAACGCTCTTTCCCTGGGCCCGGGCTTCAATGCCACGGGCCAGCTCGGCCGCACGCTGCTCGACCGAGCTGCTTGGAGGGACGGTGGTGGTAATGACCTCACATTTCCTCCTGCTAAGTGCGTCTTTGATGCCGTGCCAGTAGTGGATAGAAGGCAGAAAGGAGCCGGCAAGCTTTAGTTCAGCAAAGCCAAGAAGGCCATGGGCCAGAACAATGGGGTTTTCGGGTGTTTCTGGAACAGTCAGTGACGTGTGCTCTATTTGTTTGGACGGAGAAGCTCGGAACTCACCATACTGGTCTCTGAGAATGGCATAGTCGTCTACAATCTCCTTGCCCAGGTACTCCTTGGGCGCAAACTTGTTGCGTGGATCCAGGCTTTGGCGGCGACAACTCGATGACGCTCCAAAATAGCGCCTGGCTGTTGGTGTAGTCTTGAGATTGAGCATCCTTCGCGCGGGCACCGCCACTGCCACGATGACGGCCTTCCCTGCCTCCATGCTGCTTCAACACTGCAATGCGCACTGCAATGCGCTGTCTTTCGGTCCAATGTGCCGGTCGCAGAGAACTTGATCGATGCTTGGCTATCAGGCCTGGTGGTGTTCGCCGGGTGGCAACGAAACAGATTCGCTGAGCTCAACGCGATATTGATTCTAGATCTTGTTGTCTTGCGCTGAGCGAGGGCGTAATCACGGTGAGAGACCAACAAAAGGAACTGAACAGAAGTCGATGACCAAATCCAGGGCACAACTTGAACCAAGGCACAAGTGGGATACTAATGATAAAATGACAGCGACACGGCTACCTCTTCTAGTGTGCAGTGTACCTTACCATACTTGGCTACAGGAATACCGAACTGGAGGAAGGCACAAGGGCGCAAATGTCCAGCCTGGTGTTGGTGCCCTGGAAAAGGAATGTTAGTCTGCAAGCCACGGTCCCTGTCATTGGACGGTAGACTCATTATTACGGGGCGTCGATTGTTCGAGGCCAGGAAGGGGCGAGCGACCTGGGGAACACGATGACGGGATGTGGCTTGACGCTGACGCTGGCAAAGTCACCTAGAGTAGGTACAGGCAGGCACTCTACTACACTATTAAGTGTACACTAGGTATGACAGGACTTGCAGGCAGCCTGTCAGTAGGTACCTACCTACCTAGGTAGAGGTAGGAATATAGGTAGGTCGCCTCCACTTGCATCAGACGACACTTGCCTGAGTGGCTCGGACTTCCTATCAGGAACCAAAAATCATGAGGTGAACAGTTGGTTCGTGCCCTTGAGGTTCCTTCTTCCTCCTTCTCTTGTCCTGCAACACAACATCCGACTTCCCCGGCGGGGTCTCCATTCCAACCTCCACTTGCACCTCTCCTAGATGGGCACGGTTGGACCGCGCTTAAGGGCGTTTGGCTCGGTTAAACAGATCAATGGCATGTGAGCGTTCCAGTGTCGACAGTATTGATCGTCATTGGTAGTCTGCCGCGTTAGCACCAGGGCAGCAACAAGCCCCCCCGTTGGCCAGTTGAGACGCCGTCACAAAGACTGTAACCCTTTGCCGACCAACACCAGCCAACGTTCACCGGCCTTCATGCAACCAAGCATTCACATCCCGCGTCTCGTGCAGGAAAAGACATGGGCTTGGAGGGCTCGGCGAGGCAGAGAGATGTCTTGACTGTGCACCATGCGTGGAATCGGCATACGCCGATACAACGCTGTAGCCGATCCAACGCCTTCACGGCAGTGGTTGCGAATGGCATCAAGACAAGCGCGACCAGACGGTCAGACAGACCCATCTCCAATGCCCCTTGGGCCCCCAAACCCCACTTCACTGCAGTGTTCGCTGTTGGCTCTTGACCATGTCACTCAGTGTGTCTACGTCGGAGCGTTGATTTCGCATGCAATGGCCGACCGAGACTTCATTTTTAACCAAGATTCTTTCGCGTGTCATGATGCTCCGTGCTACTGACGGACGAGGATGAGACACATACGAGTCAGTTTACAGAAAGAGCCAGCGTTTCTGCGATTGGAGAACACAACATCAAGAGTTATTGACCATGGCAGTACTAAGGTGCTGGCAAACATGATTGAAACAAACAACGGCCCGGCACTCATTCACTAGTTACTATACAGGTGGCGTCTTGTTCGTACTGTGTCGGCAGCAGGTGCGCTCCTGGCTGATCGGCATTCTGCCATCTTCACCTTTTGGTTCTCCTCTCGAACATGGACCTTAAGCGCCCGGTACTATGGGGTTCCAGTTTGTCGGGTCAGTGTTGAGACGAGGCTGGAAAGGCATCCTGACGAATTGGCCCGTGGAATGGGTACTGGGTTGAGGATATATCTCTGCGATGGGCGCGCCACCGCCCGACGGCTATGTTTATGTCGCTTCCTAGTCGCATGTCGTCCATCCCGTATGTCGACCCGGCATTCAACTCTGTCAACATCGATGAGCACACAGGCGGCTCCAAATCTGACAATATGTTGACCGCCCGAGACTGCAGTTCCGACACATCATGTCCCATCCCCAGTGGCTTCTTGTCATACCAGACATCCCCTGCCAGTAATGCTTTTATGCTTGCTGCGTTCGCCGCCCTGATCCCTATCAACATATTCACCGGGGTCCGCTACAAAACGCCCCTTTATGCCGTATTGGCCACGCTTGGCCTACTTCTCGAGGTTGTGGGTCATGCTGGGAAAATACTGCTGCGGTCGAACCCTGCCAGCGAAGGCCGTTTCCTCCTATATATGATAGGGACATTGTGGGGACCGACATTCATCAGCGCCGCCGTCTACCTGGTTCTCCCACATGTCATGGTCATCTATGGCGAGCAGTTCAGTCTTATCCATGAGCCAATCTACTGTAATATTGTATTTGTGGCGCTCGACATCTTCACCTTGGCCTTCCAGTCCATCGGGATTGCTCTATCGGCTACGAGCGATACCGAGCTTGAGGTACGTGTTGATACTCTGAAACCCTGGCGGTGGCACCTGAACAGCGGCTCGCTAACCCGGCAACTGCAGAGACATCAGGGATTGAACATCCTGTTGACAGGATTGGCCTTACAGTTGACAAGTCTTGCCCTCTTCTTGGGTGGCTACTGGTACTTCCGGCTTAAATTATCCCATCGCCGGTTTATCTTCGACCCCACGTTTTCTATGGTCTACTTGTCTTCCTACTTCAGAAAATTTCTTCTTTGTAAGTTGCGGGCCTTCCCCTTGTGTTACAGAAACAGAGCCTAATTAACAACCATAACAGGCGTACAAGCAGCCTCAGTGCTTCTACTAGTAAGAGCAGCTATACGATTGGCTGCTTTTACTGGAGGGCTCGCCAGCGGCCTCGTGCAATCCCAAATCGTCTCGCTGGTACTTGATGATACCCTCGTACTTGTCGCCGCCGTTATTCTCTCCGTGGCACCGGTTGGGAGGGCCTTTGGATCATCTTGGGCTGAGACTGCCCCGTTCACGCTTGCAAGCGATGAGTCAGATCTGCCGCTACGCAACTGGCGGCCATCGACAAGCCAGCACAGAAAGAGAGCCATCTCACACCCATTTCCAGCATCTCCCATGATTGCGCAACCATCTCCGCGGTCATACCATTCCATATATTCGCAAATACCCCCGCCGCCGTTGGCATCGCCGCAAGACAAGCGCGTGTATCAGCGGGCTCCCTACGAGATTACCCCGGTACAGGTTGTACCCTACGTGCCCAGCGAAGCGGGAAGCCCGCCCCTTTCAGGATCTATGCCGGCCGACACGCCGAGGAGAACGCCTCGAGAGGCGCAGAAGCTTGTTGACCCTGATGCACTTTGGAGCTAACTGCAGGTCCTTAGTCTGCTGCTTCTGCCCCAATTTTATCTTGAGCATTATCTGCTTAAGAGACAGGACGGCTTCGGCAAATTTATGTGGTGTGTCCGCGTTTTGTGTCTGATCACTTCGATTTCTCGTGTCGAAGTTGAACTTGCTTTTTGGCGGCATACTCAAGGTCAACCTGGATGGGTCGGTACAAATGTTTACCAGTTATTCTTCTACTTTCTCGCTCCCCTGTTTTCTTTCTCTCTCTCTCTCTCTCTCTCTCTCTCTCTCTCTCTCTCTCTCTCTCTCTCTCTCTCTCTCTCTCTCTCTCTCTGTTTTTTTCTCTTTTCTTTTTTTTTTTTTCGAGGGGGGAGGGGGGCTCTCAGTTTTTGTTCTTTCATCATGATACCACTCCTTTGTACGCGGCGTTGTGGCTAAGAGATACATGTAAATACATTGCTTTTCCTTTGGACCAACATCACGGTTATGGTCAACCTAAGTAACCGAACATGGTCTGCGCTCTACACGTGCTGTTGAACTGATCGCGAAACCTGAAAAGCCCACGGCGATCACAGTGCCTAGCTAGCCCGCCCCATGTTTCCTTACAGGAACCTGAACAACTCGAATAATAGTACGCGCTCATACATTGCTCATGTGCCACATCATCACCGGTAAGTTGTAGAAGTGAGCCTTCTCAATGCAAAGAAGGAGTAAAGTCCCCCGAAAATGGCACCACCAAGGTGCGCCCCGTGTCCAATCTTCGAGCTTTCATCGTTCAGCATCCACATATCGTAGGCAAAGCTGATCAAAGGTACCGTCCACAACTGCAGCGTCAGCGGCATCGGCAGCATTCCAGCGAACTTTTGCACCTGAGTATATGGAAAGACCACAGCCACAGCGACGCTCAATCCGCTCACGATACCGCTCGCCCCCAAGCCGTAACGGGTCATGATTACTCCTCGCCGACGGCCCTGGCGATCTCTTTTCATCTTGTGTGTGAAATGCCATAGCTGTGCCACGGACCCAGCGACGGCAGAGCCCAGGCAGACGCAAAAAAGCTGGCCGTTGGACAGACCTCTGTTGATACCGATGGTGGCTACGCTGATGAAGGTGGTCAGATTTTTGACAATATGGTCGAGATCCTGGTGCGAGACAGCCCCGCCGAGAATGGTCCACCAACGGCCCTGGGCAGTGTTATCAAGAGAGATGGTGAAGTGGCGGCGAAGGGTCTGCAAGTGATTGGCCTCATTCTGAAGGCTAAGAAAGGATCCAGATCGTTCCGAGCTCGCGCCTCCCTGATCCCTATTGAGATCGTGGATGGTCCTTACGTTACTGCCCAGACCTCTACTGCTTCTACCACTCCTCGCTTGCCGTTGCTGTGTTGTTTGAGAAGAGGAAATGAGCCTGGAAGGGAGGTCGAGAAGAGAAGGGTATCGCCAGATGGCGAAGACGGCCGCGTTGACGCCGCAGAAAAGGTAGACAAACCAGCCCTTTTTGAAGTTGCTGATCAGATACCTGCCGAGATAAGGACTTCGCTGCCACCTCATGTCGAAAACGACACGGGGAATGAACTCGAATGGATAGTGGGCGAATACTTTGTCGGCGTGTTGAGAAGCCACCTCCGAAAGCAAGGCGCGCAGTTCGTTCATTGGCAGCACAGGGGCTGTATATTCCATGACAAAGACCTTGAGTAAGAATAAGGTTGAGTGGCAAGGGGCTGGAGTGTATGCCGCCGTCGTCGCTCCGGGCGTTAATGTCGAGCGATGATGGGCAAGTGCCGATTCGGGGTGTCTTCTTGACCAAGTGCAGAACCAACGAACCAACGCGCCAACAAACGAAGGGATGACCTGAGTGAGGCTGCAGGGAGCTCGAATACCCAACCTCGGCGAGGACTCGTTCGCAAGAGATGGATGCCTTTTTGGAGTAAAGTAGAGTTGGTATAGATCCCGACGGTTTCATGTGCGGCATACTTCCCGATGGGGGCACGTCGTTGGTTCCTGCTTTAATGTTGCATTGCTCTCTCTGACATAGATTTGCCTGCCGCCATCCTCCCGAACCAAAACACACGACTCGACAGGGGTGTTATCGCGCTTGACACCGCCGAAGCATTATGTTTTCTATGTTGCAAAATACTTGGACTACTTGGAATGTTTGACAGAACCACCTACGATGTCAAAGGGAAAAAAACCAACAACGCCATGATGGGTAGGCACGGTTCATCTTCATTCAGCCATGACCCAATACGCTTCGTAAGCGCATTCTCCTTTGTTGGTCTCCCCTCCGCCTCCTCTGTCCGTATCCCTTTACGAGAATGCGCCTTGATCACAGGCCGTCCCTTTGTCCAGAGGCTTCTCTGATCAATTAAGCTTTCAGTTACGGACATGACACAAAAAATGACAAATGTCGGTTATAACCCCATTCTTCTTCACTCTTCCTATGCGTTTCCGTGGTGCATCGATAAAGTCATTTTGAAGATGACATGCACCCGGTTGCACACTTGATCGCTGGTCCTATCTGATCAGAGGTGAAATATTCTATCGTTCTGTATATGTTACTTCGTCAAGCCCCTGGAATGGCGCACCTACAAGGTGGATCAGTGTCCAGAGGTTCTGCCGCCGCTAGGATCGAATCAAGCAGAGCTATCAACAAGTCCCTTATTCGCTGCAAGATCCTTCTCGAGTGTGGGAGCACCGCTGACTTCACCTATGACCACTGCATCTCACAATGGCAAGGGGAACAGTGCCCGAGGCCTACCGCTTCGGTCCTGTCCGGCTCTAAAGTAAGGACAGCCACAGCTCTCTCCCACGCCGATCACGCCCTCGACCTCGCTTCGTACTACAACCAACCCCAGCTAGTTGCAAAATCCCAGCTCTTCCGCGGCCACTGTTTCCGCCGAATGGCCCAATGGGACAAGGCATACTGGTGTTACGTTCGCGCGGCAAGCGTGCGCGAGTTCGCGGCCGAAAAGGGGCCAGAAGGACTAGAGGCTTCAACGAAAGAGTGCCAGAGGAGGTTAGGCAGAAGGAAAGAGTGTCATTACTCCAGCGATAGCGAGGAGATTAGTAGTGGGTATGGATCAGATGACGTGGTAGTGAGAGAGGACAGAATATCAAGTCATACATTTGGCTGTCCGGATACTAAGTTGCTTCAGAGGGATAGCGCAGGTAATGCTGACTGTGAGATGTCATCACGGCAGCGAAGCAGTATGAGGAGGGACTCCATGTCAACTTGGCCATTTTGGGTAGTTGATGAGTACGGGAGGGGAGTCAGAAGGTTGACAGCGCTACCCATTCTAAGATCGGTTGAGGGGAGGTGGATATTTGGGCGAAACTGATGAATTGTACTATCCTAGTCACCCTCTATAGTCCGAAAGACATTGGAACCACGTGTTTCTCGTCAACAGACAATCGTGACCTCCCCTCCGTTCCCAATATTAATTCTTGATGTTGGCTCAGATGTGATAGACCACATTTCGAATTCACCCATAGATGGAAGAACTACCTGTAGGCTTCCACGGAGCATTGCACAAATGGAATGGTCATTTATTGCAAAATGCCTTAAGAAGTCGTCCCGATTAGTAAAGTGACGAATCATCATACGGAGAACACGAGAAGGAGTAAGAAGAATTCAGTAATCAATGATTCATGCACAGAGCGCTCCGTCCTGCTAAAAAGCTTTTGTTTACATAAGTGGGGAAGCAGCGAGCATGTCCCTTTTCAAAACAATTTTTCTCACGATCCCTTGGATAAAGAACCTGGCTTGCCACCGATTATTTAAAGTGCCGCTCTGGGAAAGAACACATCAGTGAAACACCAACTGCTCTCGACACCAATATAAAGGATGTACAGAAGTTGATGGGGAAGGAAGAGGAAAAGGGAAAACACTCACTTGAGCTAGATATGGACGACAATGATCAGCATAGCCGTGGTGACAGCATCTCATGTGATTACCCAATTCAAGGCATTGCTGGTAACGTCTCCGGCTTTGCGAGCCTCCGCTCAAGACAAGGTTCCGAAGCCGCCGATGGGACCCCAACGGCTATGAGTTTCAAGGAGATGATGAACTGCTTTTTTGCTCGGGTCAAGAGCAAAGACACCGCTAAAAACGACGCCGCTTGGCCCGCAACTACATTGAGAGATATATCGGAGGAACAGTGCAAGTTACAAAGAAGGGAGCAACGTGAAAACAATGAGGTATTCGGACCAGGTGCAATACTTTTCTCCGGATTGAGCCGCTCTTCCTTCTTTGCGAACCAAAGTGCCTTGCAGCACCAACATGATTACAGCGAAGTTTGTTGTACCTGCGACAACAAATCGAGGCAAGAAGACGGCCAAGGTAAACCCACCGAATCGGAGTGTGAGCCTTGGTGGTGGGTGATGCAGACAGGATTTTACTCCCTGGTCTACTGCGTCTACGATTTTGCGACTGCTGTACAGTACCTATGGCTCTCACCTTCCTAGACGTCATGTTCTACATATCAACGGTGGTCATGGCAGTATTATTATGTTCACCACTTGGAGGCAGTTCTTTAGGTGCATCTTGGGCATAATGTACCTGGGCAGCTGGCTGTCTTCTGAGGCGGCCAGGTTGGCAATCGGCGAGATGGTGGTCTTTATGGATCGTGATGCGGCTCGGTCGTTGTTTAGGAAGATGGAACAGGAGCTCTGGAAGGGCTACGAGGCCGTAGTTACCTATTGATGACTGATGTAGCGTTGATCGTCGGGAAAATGGGAGCCTGGGGAAGCAAAGCTTGACAGAACTGAACTGGTGTGCAAAGGCTACCATGATTCACATCGAATGTCCATTCCTGGCCCTAGGCATAAGAGTCCCATCTCATGTTTTGCGTACCTTCAGGATCCCATACTTGTTACTCAATTAGAAAGCGAAAGCACATTTTTCACAGATCTCAGGATACAGTTGAGGGTTGGCTGTGGGTTTTCCCTAGACGTCTCACATCCTTCTCGGGCATGGGTTTTTGATTTGAATTACTTACTAACTTTGAATGGGGCGCAAAACTCCAGAGACTTGTGAAGTGACAAATTTCCATCTCAGTTAATGTAACTACCAGGTACCTACCTAGATATGTTAGCATATCGGTGACTTTTCTGAGCTCCGGCTGCTTCCACGCGTCTCTCTGTTTCTCGCTGGCTGATGCAATCAGCAAGTTAGCTTTCCGCAATACGGTCAGGCCACAGGCTTGATGTCGATACGAAGTGTTGCTCATGGATTTTGTTTGATTTCCTACTTGGTTTATGGTACTTGAAGTTCCGGAAGGGAATATGAGTAAGTGCTGACAGATGAGCGCAGCCATATTATGAAGTAGAAGAAGGCAGGTGATGTCCGACGGCCAAACAAGAAGGGGATACGCCGGTCAGTAAACATGGTCCCGTAATGCAGTAACGGAGAGCTCATTTAGGCTTTACTGTAACCTTCCTCTCGCGAGCTCCCAGCAATGCCTCGACAAGAGACAGCTGGACAGTAGACTTTCTAGGTAGTAGGATTAGGTGTACCAAGTATAGAGAGTTTGGGGCCAGTCCAAAGTATCTAGTGGCAACTAACCAGATATCAACATTGGAAGTTCTGTGGGGTTGACCACATAGATAGCCGAACAACTGGTAGATTATTTACCGGCCAATTGAGTAACCCTACCGTCGAAACAAGCTTGCATGAGGACGATTCCGCTTAAGCTCGCCGGCAGCGGATAAACGCTTGCAACCTCTGCGTTATGCGGTGGCCTCGATGCCAGGATTGCTTGGCGGCTGGCATCAAAGCAGTGACAGTCATTTTGTTTTGCTGGGAGACTATTTGTAAAGCTGAAAGGAACTGAATGGGAGACCGGTGTCTCGAGAAAGTGTCGCATGCGTCGGTAGGTACCTACGCATCTCTCTACACTACCTAGGATTGAGCGGGGTGGCAGGGCGGGACTACAGACTGATAGTGAGGCAAATGTAATCCTGCACTTGGTCTTGGATGTGAAAGACGCACCTCGGTCAGGTAGTGCCTTCGTCATGCGAAACCTCAACGGCATGGGCCAGAAAGGGAAGTTAACAGAGGAGAGGACCAGATACGGGGGAAGGAAGACTGAAGGATGAAAAGCCATTTTGGATGAAACCTATGATCCAATCGAGGTTCCCACACTCAAACACCTGTGCAGTCTTGGCGGATGTGTGCGAATGCACACACACACGACTTTTTGGCAAAACGGACCATCGAAACGAAAGACGAAGATAAAGAAATTCAATTATCCTATAAAAAAGACTATTATCTAAATAGTCTTAAGTACGCTAATTCTATATCTTAAGTCCGTTTTCTTTCATCTCTTTGTTTAGTAGAGATATAAGCAAATGAAATCTCATCGATGGTCCGTTTTGCCAAAAAGTCGTGTGTGTGTGCATTCGCACACATCCGCCAAGACTGCACAGGTGTTTGAGTGTGGGAAGGACAACCCCCACCCCACCCCAGCTGAGGTTGTTGCACCTTCGGCGAGGATGCTTGCGCGATTCCAAATGGAGCAAGTGCTTCTGACTGCCGCTATAACACGCAGAGTGTGATCCACGATCAACCTATGTAAACAACGATTTCCATCGTTGTCAAAGCATGTGAAAATAAGAAACAGAAACCTTCCTTTTTCATTCTCAGTCTCACCTTCCAGCCCGCTCACCCTGCGTACCTACTCGAACCCGTTCGAAACTGCGGGATTGCTCACTGCAGGCGAAGGTTATGCGAGATAGGCCAGCCTGTGCTTCTACATGCCGTCGTACCGCCGTCTCCAAGGAATCGAGCTGCTGGTTTGGTGCTAATATCCCACTCTTTGAGGACTCCGCTAAGAAAGATTGAAGGAGGCAATGTAACCGCGCAGTCCGTCACCGTCGGACTTCTTTCCGCAAACCATCAGGCCCTTGACGGACACCTTCACTGATTCCACCCCGTTGGCAACTTGCAATACGTGGTATTCAGCTAGGCAGGTAGTAGTGATCCTCCATAACCCGCGCTTTGGGGGTATGAGATCGAGCACTGCAGAGTATTTGTTACGATGACATGGTCCTTGGCGTAGTCGTGGGTGGGGAGGAGAGATCATGAACCAGCCAGCAGTGTTCATACTTCACCACGGCACGGCTATGGCGTGCGTGAGGGTCTTGACGACGATCATCTGTCAGGACAACGAAGTGAGATCGCGCGGACTCAAATTGTACCTGATCACAGCGGCAACAAAATATGCACTGTGCGGGTACCTCATTCTTGCGCCCAGAATTATGACGCCAAACGTTCCAAGCATCGAGTACAACATGATTTAACGTCCATACATTTCGAACAAGCGGTTTTCCACCACCTTGCTATACACGTCTTCCATCATATCAATGAAGGTCATCAGGAAACAGCACCAAGGCCCGACCTCCAGGGTCAAACTGCTGTACCCAAGCGTTATATGCCGTCTAAGATCTTCATCTCATTCGTCGACTATTCAAAGCCCCATCCTAGCATCTCCCAGATCACCCCGTTTCGAATTGGCAACCTCTTGTTTCCCCTGCGTATCGAATATCAAGCCTAAAGGCTACAAGATATCAAGTGGCTTGATCGCTATACCTGAGATCCAGTTATAGGCCGTTGATGTCTACCAGTAGACTAGTACTAAGGCTTTCCTTGCCGACCGGCCTATCTGCCTACCTACTGTTTGGGGTGCATCTCTCACTCTTCCACTTCCACTTAACCGCTAACATCGGACTTCACAGTTACTCCCGTCTATACCTCACGCTTACGGGACTTCCCTTTCGAAAGGCTTGATATAATATTGTGGGGTTTTCGGCTATGCACTCGCCATATCTTCGCTACCACCCAAGGTACCGTGCCTTCACGTGGGCTATCAAGCTCCATGCCAATAAAAGCTGCAGGTTGAGGACTGTCGTGGCTGTTGTGGAGGGTGATAAAATGTTGCATCTCGTACAAGGTCATTGAAAAATGGCTTGCTTCCCGATACTTATCTGGTCGTCCTTATCCCTGAGTAAGGCAGACACTGCTCCGTCTTAACGTCGAGCCCCCGTTGCCTTTTGAAGCCCGACCATCTTGCACCACAGAGGTGCACTTCCAAACTCCCATTGCCGAGGAGAATGGACTATCCATAATATTGGCTGACAAGTCACACCAAGAAGGTGCAGATCTCAACTCATTAAAAGAGGTTCTGTTGCCTTTAAAGCCATTTCGTGCTTAGATTACGTATATTTATAGGGTAAACAAGGTTGAGATGCCATATCAAGCAGACCAAACCCTGAGGGAGAGAAGATGGGTATCTACTCGCCTCTCCATATCTCTCACAGTCAGGCGGTACTTGTCCATCCAGTCTCCTTTAATTATATCCCGCGCTTTATCCAAATTACAAATGCTACCCTTCCAGCATCCATAGACGTGGGTTGTCCTGCTCGACCTTCCAAACGTTCCACAATAGTCACCACTCTCACAAGTCGTCCGTACACTACCCTGTTCGGTCAGTCAAGTGTTAGTTACATGTATTCTGCCAGGCTGACAGTATCTTCGCTCAGTATCACCCTCCGTCCAAGTTAGGAAGCAGGCAAAACCACAAAACCCTCGGGAAAAGGCGCCGCACGATCGACTTTCCACGCGTACCCGGCAGATCCAGCCACATCCCTCTAGGTCCTGCATCCAGGCACAGAACGTGCTTCTGCCCAGTCTATGCAGAAAAGACCTTGCGAGAGGTGCAGTTTTACTGCTGTTAGTTTTTCCTTGGGCAATGCTCCATGCTTGGACCCAGTTCAGAGACGGTAGCTCCTAGTTATGTCGACCGGCAATTTCAATCCCACGTTGGTATTGGGCAACCATGCCGGACATGAATCACCACAGGTTGTCACTGCCGTTCTGCCCGTGTTTGCCAGGATTCAGCTTGCTTTCATGCGATGGGCAAGTAATGCACTCGTTATCTCAAATAGGTCTTATACTGACTTAATCCTGCTCGCCAGTCCAATCACTTCCCATTTGGTACCACCCCCTGGGGAAGAAAAACAAGTACCTGATCAGGTAAGAGAACACTCGGCGAAGATGCCCCGAGCGGGTGGGGGGGAGGCAACATGGACTAGAGGTACCTACAATATGGAAATATATCTCGGCCGGACTCCTGAAGGTCTAGACTTTCACTCCTCCCTTCATCATACAAGCCTTAAAGCGTGCCTTCCTACTTTGTCTCTCGTACCTGCCCTTTAGTCCAGTCCAAGATCTTGGTTGAAGAGCAAGAGGCGCTGCCTCACTCACCTCTCCCTGAAGATACACTTCGGTTTTGTTCACAGAGCGTCACTCGTCGTCTCACCATCATTTTATGTGAATCTTACCTACGCATTCATAATGGTCCCACCATCACCTTATATTTCCAGTGGCGGAGGGCACGCCGGGACAGGAGGAGGAGGAGGAGGAGCAGCTGCTTCGAGTGACGGAGGCCATGAGAGCCCCGCCATGCAAGCCTTTTTTGCTATGAGGCAGCGGAAGAACGAGCACATGATGAAGAGGTACGCAGCAGCACTATGTGGCCTAGTTGCTCTCTTCATCGTCTTCCACTGGACGAGATGGTTTTTTGTTAGAGCAGAACGGTCCTGGAAGCCATTGGCTACACTGGGACGTCCCTTTGTTGCGATTGAGAGGTACGTACCGTACTCCAACTTTCGAGTTACGGCCTGTACTGAAGGGTTCTATACTAGGTCCGCAAGGAATCTTCTTGTTCGCAAGGTCCCTGGCTTCAAATCGGCTGGGCATGCGCTGCTCGTTACAGCATATGTTGTGGCCAATGTTGCCGTTGGGTTCACGAACGTAGATGCCAGCTCTAAAGCTAACTTTGCCTCCAGGTTTGGCTGGTAAGTCATTCATGTATCTCCCAAGACTTTGCCTCAAAGTACTAATGAGACTGTACGTCAAGGCTGGCTCTATCAAACCTGGGACTCGTCATCTTTCTGGCACTCAAGAACAGCCCTTTGGCTTTCCTCACTGCCTATTCCTATGAGAGGCTTAACTGCCTCCATCGGATTGCCGGATATACAATGTTCATCTGGATGGTACTCCACGCGTCCCTGTACACCACATACTTCAGTGAAGCAGGGATCATCGTTACAAAGTTCCAGGACCGGTCTGAAATTGCGGCTATCGTAGCCGGCTTTTCCTTCCTGACAGTAGTCCTCTCGGCCACCATCCTCCGGCGAATTCGTTATGAGCTATTCTACGTGGTCCACATTTCGAGCTGGATTCTGGCCATTGTCGCGCTTGGAATCCATCGATCGGATTTTGCAAAGAAGGGAATCATCGTTATACTTTTGGCAGCTTCCATTTGGGTTCTTGATCGCCTTATCAGGATTACCAGAGTTCTATATTACGCCTTGAACAACGAGGCGACATTATATCCTCTTCCTGATGGTGGGACCAAAGTCATATTCAAAAAGACACCCGCCAGGGCGGTAGCAGGAAAGCATTGCTTCATATGGATACCGGCAGTACGCAAATTCGAAACGCATCCTTTCACGATCCACAAGACGAACTCTGTGGAGTTTACCATTAAGGCACAAGAGGGCTTCACTCGTGACCTCCACCAACATGCGCTTGCCAACCCAGGTATCAGCGTGAGGGCGTCTCTCGATGGACCTTACGGCACATTTCCGGATCCGATGGACTACGACAAAATTGTCCTTATCGCCGGCGGTGGAGGTGCTACTTTCACCTTTGGCCTTGTGGCGAATCTTCTTGAGAGATTACATGATGAACCTGACAAGAATATCACATTCATCTGGACTGTGAAGAAACACGGTGAGTCTTGCGCCATACACAATATGACTGTTTCATTTTTGCTTTCATGAAGGATATTTCTGTCGGCTTGAACCATGCCTATGACGGTTTTTGTCAAGGGAGAGTAACTGACTGTTTTGGGTCCGTGATATAGAAAACCTGGCGTGGTTCAAGGAGCACCTGGAGACATTGAAGAATCACGCACACTCACCGAAGGTCGAAGTCTCCATCTACGTGACACGATCACCAGTTGCTTCTCTGCATCACCGCCACTTGCCGCACATTCATGGCCACAGCCTGCTGCACCACGCACAACCGCGCACCTCGGAATCGTCCTCGGGAGGATCTTTACCTCCTCTGTCAGGCGATATCAGCGGCCGCAGCGGCTCCCCAGATACCGAAAAGATGCCTCAATTGCCACTACCTACTCATAGTCACCAGCACCGAAACCACCCCTCATCGACCCTGTCAGAAAAGGATCTTGAAGATGGGGGCGGCGGCCTTCCCGTGGTCTCTCACGACGGCAACGCGGCAGACAACAGCACTGGTACCGAATCACATCCTCATCCCCATCATGCGCACGGTTACGAGCATGCCATCAGACCCGGCAGACCGGACATGGCCACACTAATCCGCCAGGCCGTCGTCGGTATCCCTTCGAACCAGCGCGTACTCGTGGCGGCGTGTGGACCAGACGGACTCATGCATGTCGTGAGAGATACGACGGCGAGGTTGATACAGAGAGACGGGCCGGGAGTGGAGCTACATTGTGAGCAGTTTGGATGGTAAATGATCTGCGAGCCGCTGAAAAGGATTGGCACGGAGGAGATTCGGTCTGGTTATCGTTTTTGCGCGTGGAGAGTTATGATCAGCGACAGTTGGCAATTACATCGTATATAGCCCTTCCTCTGCGCCCATTATGAATGTGAAGCAGGTGTACTTGGGGTATGCTTGCTGTTATCTGTCGTGACCCAGTTGATTTGTGTTTTTGGATGGGTGCAATCGACATGGAACATGGGGAGGGGACGCAGGTACTGCTCGGAGTTCTTGTTCATCAACATTCATTGCCCCGGGGGAGCTTTTAGTGTACTTCAAGCTAGGGGGGAGTCAAGGTTCATGGAGCCTATCAACCACCCATGAACGACCACAACTCTCGATCTTTCCCAATGCTGTGACAAAACATTGGCCGAGAAGCTTAGCAACCAGCCCATTGGATGTCGTCCATTCATGTGGGTTTCTGCAGGCCCCTTTTCATTGCGTCGACGACGTCCGCCACGATGAAGTGTCATTCTTATCATTTTCGCATTTTGCTTCTTTGAAGCCGACGTGTTGGCTTCTTCCGGGCTTGATGACTAAAATCTAGAACAAACAACTCAAGTGAAAATTCTTCCGACACTCCGTGTTGGGGTCGTCGACTGGACAATGTCGATGAAGGAAGCTGGCTGTGATAGGGCAATCAGGATTGGGGGTACCTTGCTGGCCATCTGCTCCTGCGCAGCTGGCACACATTGTTCGGAAGCTGTGACTGGGCAACAAAACTGAAAAGACGTTGCCGACATGGATACGCCATCACCAAGAGGGGAGGGGAAATATACACGCTGGTGTACTGGTGGAAAAGAAAACGGACAGCAGGTGAAAACGACTTGTCAAGCACTCCTGTCGGTGTACACTTGATGATTTTCTGATAGATGATGGATAATCTAAATGACTCCTCGAGATGTCCGTTATGAACTTGGTGAGTGCGCGAATGGCGAGGTGGCTCTTCAACACGTTTTTGTAGTGTAAGTGGTGTGTACCCCTCTGCCGGCATGTAGTGCAAAACGCTAGCGCGGTGAACTGCAAAGTGGCGATAACCTTATTTTCTAGTGTAGTGTAAACAATAAATGGCTGCTTTGTGGTGTAGTGTACGCAGTACTCACCTCCAATCCCCTGGATATTGTAAGGTAGCGGTACCATGCTGACAAACTAAATACCGACAGAGGTGTACCGGGTAGGGTGAGGAAAACCTCAAAAGGTTGCCAGGTCTATCTAAATCATGTGATTTCCTTAGCCAAGTCTGTTAGCACAATGAAGTGTTTGCCAAGGATCTTCCAAACAATCAAAACCCCTGTGTTTGATGGAGCCTTTCTTTTGCTTGTGTTTGAGGAGACGAGGAAACAGCGATCAGCTAGCTCAGCGACAGCAGGTGAGCTAGGGATGCGAGATAGCGACGTGAAGATGATGCACGTTGTTAGCTACCTATTGCACATCATAGTCCCGCTTTAATAAGAAACCCGAGCTCCGACTCAACACTAAGAACGGAGTTAACTGAAAATAGACAGATACCCCTGGCAGTATTGCATCAGCCATGGTCGAAGCACGCTGGGAGTAGATTTTCCTAGATACGTGGTGTAGATATATGATTATCAACGAGGAGGAAGAAACAGAAGAAGAAGAAGAAGCACACCCAAGGTTGGCTCGGGACTGACGACGCAGAGAGCCGGAGTTGTACTACATATTAGGTAGTCAGACATCTATCTGTGACATGGTTCCCTCCCTCTAGTGTAGGTCCTTGGCGCCGATCTTATCAATCCCTCTGGAGGTTCATGCACGTAGGTTGTTTGCAGTCCACCCCACCTCCCACCTGCTTCATATCTCTTAAGATCATGATCTCAAAGGCATCAATAGTGAGTTCATATGCAGTGGTGACTATGGGTGGAGCTGATACAGGATCTATCGTCTGCCGGTTGTTATATAAAGTGTGCGAGATCCTAACTCTCGTGTTCAACCGACCTGATGAGCCCCTGTGTTGTTGTTGTTGTTGTTGTTGTCGTCGTCGTCGTCGATATGTCTGCGGTCTGGGTCTTGGACTTGACGCCTCTTGGATAGAGAAAAGAGGCTGAACAGTAAACAATGGCAACATTAGTGCAAGCAATGCGCTGGGCAAGAGGCTGAGGTTACATGGCACAGTTGAGAAAGGATTTTGTACCCTGGACGGTTGGCTTCTCGTCACGGTAAGCACTTCAAGCATCCTTCCCCTCTTGGCCTCCCATCTGATTGTCTTGTCTTTGTTGCTGTCGTCCAATGAACTGCGGCACGTTTGTAACTGACACGGACTTGACGCCTGGAATCGGAAATTGAACTGTTTTCCCCATTGATAACGGAGCAGATGGCGGTGACGGACACGGTTTGTTGATAAGGGAAGTGGTCGATGATGGTGCACACAGCTTGCACAGCAGCATGGAGGACGGGAAAATGGGGCGTGCCGTGCTCGCTTCAGACAAACGAAGCGATTCTTAACAGCCTGTGGAGGACCCGTCGGATGTGGAGCCTCGCATCCCTGCTGCCCTGCCCTGGCGGCCGCCCCTTGCAAGCCCACTGCCCGGTCTCTGGTCCCAGTGGATGGGCTCTCTGACCCAAGGTTTTTGGGTCTCCTCTTTGGTCCCTCTTGAGTCTCTCTTTGCAGCAGCCAGGTCCAATTTCCATGAATTGCGGGCTCCTCCTTTCCGATCGATCCAAAAAAACTGAGGAGCTAGAGTAGAGGTAACTACCTAGGTGGCCCAGGTTGTACTAGAGGATCACTGCAAGGGGCATTTTTTTTTTTCGCCATTGTTTCTTCTTGGGCTTTTTTCTTGTCCTTCTTTTTTTCTTTTTTTTTTTTTTTTTTTTTTTCTCTTTTTTTCTTTTTTTTTCTTTTTCTTCTTCCTCTTTGGAACCTTCATTCCCTCTGTGACTTCTTCTGGACTCTTCCCCTCGTCGCGTCCAACTTTTGAACTGGTTAATTTCCTACCTATCTTGTTGCATCTCCAAACTGCAACCATCTTCCTCCCCGAATCTCCAACCACCAAATACGCTACTACCAACTAACCTGACGTCAGCGACAGTCAGGAAGAGCAAAGCAGTGTTGCGCCACTCCTTTGCATCTATAATCTCCAAACAACCACCCGACCCTTCAGTTTCACGCGACCACCGACCTCTTTGTCATCCACGTACTCGCCAAACAAACCGTATCTCTCACGAGCACATCATTAGTCGGATTCGAGCTCGAAAAGCAATTTCGATCCAAGAAGCGACATCCAGTCTCGAAAGCCTGAGCCAGTGCACGAATCAACAAGCTGACAATGGGCACTTTTACCTTCAGATGGTTAGTCGCGCAGTTCCATCCAATCCCTCCCGCATCGTTTCATTCCGGCACATTGCAAGAAGCGGCAACATGCGGTCGTCCGTCCAAGGCCGCCATCCAATGCGCGATGATCTCCCATTGTGCATGGAGGCATTGGATCGCGAGACAGGAGCCAGAAAGCGGCCCCTCATCTGAATGCACCACCGCTGCCATCCCAACCTAACTCGCGCACCAGCCTGCAAGTGTCGGGCGGGTGTGAAGTACCATGAACGCATCCATCGTTGCGGTGTCACGATGGTGGTTGTGTAGCACCATGTCATCTCTTTCTGCGAATTGTGTGCTGACGAAATGAACAGGCCGCACGCCGCTGAGGAGGTCTACGTGACTGGCACCTTTGACGGCTGGTCCAAGAGTGAACAGCTCGACAAGGTTGGCGACCATTTTGAAAAGACAGTCATGCTTCCCGATTTCGAAGAGAAGGTCTACTACAAGGTCGGTGATGATTCCGTCTGGTCTTCTCCCCAAATTGCCCATAATACCCCATTCGTCAATTCTATTTGCGCTCGCTGCGCGGCGCTGTATGCTGGCCCCGCTGCCCTCCAGGCTTTGTGTGGGGTGGATGGGGAACGACTTACATCAGTTGCTGTAAGGCCAACCTATGATGTTGCAGCTTTGATGCCTTTAGTTCCTCGAGGCTGGCACCGAGTCGACACCATTTTGCATCGCAGTTGCGCGCTTACAAAAGAACGAGGAGGACACAGCAACCAGCAGACGAGTCAAAAAGGGGGGCGTCCAAGGATGCAAGCGCATTCTTCTTACCCATTGCCCCCCGAGGTTGATGTCAAGCCGGATTTTGGGAAATGAGCAATTCGAAAAGCGCTGGAGAACGACATTGCTCACTTGCCTTGGGGCTGCTTTCCCTGTCGCAAGTGTGGAAATGTTTGATGCTCCATTTCCAGTGTGATCCGCGGCCGTGCTACAGCGGCCTCGGGCGGTTGCTGGGTCCCATTCCTTAGGTTGGCTATGACGCAACGCAACATCGCGTGACGGTAGAGAGCCACCAGGGTCCCCAATAAACGAGCCAGGCCGGAGCCGCAAGCGAGGCCGTGACTGGCTGGAACGCAACTAAATAATGGAGCACTAAGCTCCAGAAATACATCGGTGGTCTCTCCAAGCCGGCGTGTTGCACACGAACAAGCAGGGTCTCTGCACTAGTGTGGAGCTGCAGCTTACTTTATTTCATCACTGCCATACATTGCCTTGCTCCTGGGAGGTGTTTGGCAGCGTTCTGGCGCCTCTTCGGGTGGCATTATCGCATGCGCTCTGTCGTGTTGCCAAGTTGGTTGCCAGAGAGACGAGGGTACAGGTGGAATGGGATTTTCCAGCCGGGCAGGGGCAGACCAGGGCAGCGAACGGGCAGTCGCGCTCCTGCTTCGTCATCCAAGCGCAACCCCTCCTTACCTCCTCGTCCTGTTTCCCGCTTACCTTTCACTTTCCAAATTCTCACATATAAACGAGACACAAACCATCCAACTCTCTGACCAAGCACTGACGCAATCACATTCAACAGTTTGTTGTGGACGGACGCTGGACCACCGATCACACCGCACCACAAGAAAAAGACCACGAAGGAAACGAAAACAACGTTTTGCTACCCCAGAACCTCATCAGAACCACAGACACATCAACACAAGAACCCGAGCAACAAGCCATGTCGAATGAGAACCGCAAGGCAGAAGGGAGCAGCAATACAGGAGAGCCCAGCTTTGCAGAGACCATCATGAGCGCACTCAACACTGTAACTCCTGATACGACTGCGCAATCTGTCAGCAACCCTCTAGAGAACAAGAAGAACCACGGCCCTCCAGGTGGCTGGGTTGAGACCCCTGCGGCCGACGGCGACAAGACCTTCAGCGTGAGCCCTCTTCCTGCCACAGATGGCGCTCTCAACCCCATCGACCTCAAGCCCGGCGAGAAGATCCCTGATAGCATCTCGACCCAGAATGTCGAAACCCACGTTACTCTAGATAAAGAGTCATACGAAAAGAGCGACCGCATTCCTGGCGTCGATTTCAGCACATCACCTGTTGCTACCCCTATCGTTGCCACTGGCGCGCAGACCGACTTCAAAGTCGACCCTCTTCCTGCAACTGAGGGTGCTCTCAACCCCTTCAAGCTCGCGCCCGGCGAGAAGATTCCCGATGACGTCAGGGCTGCAGACATCAACACCAATGTTACACTTGATAAGGAATCATACGAGAACAGCGCCGATCGGATTCCCGGCCTCGACGCCGCATTGCCTCCGATTTCCAAGAACATGATCCCCGAATCCAGTCTTCCCATTACTAGCAACAGCGATGTCTTCATCAACACTGTCACTCCCGTCTCAACCACTGCTGCCTTGGCTGCCCAGGTTCCCTTGGACGACTGTACGGTTCCCGAGGCTGTTAAGAAAAGTCAGGAGAAGGCCCACGTGGAGCCCGGCGCAAGTGGTATAGCCGAGGAGGTAAAGGGCAAGGCCGCCGTTGAGGATGAGCTAATGCACAAGGTTTCCAAGGCCCCCTCCACCTCCGAGGGCACTGCTGGACATGGCACTGAAAAGGCTGAGACTGACTTGTCCCTTGCTGATGCCGTTGCATTCGCCGGTAATGCCGCCGCTGCTGCTGTTGTCGGCGCTGCCACTGTCGCCGCCGACAAGCTCCCCGGTGTGCTCGAGAGCACCGCAAACGCCGCGGTAAATGTTGGTAGCAAGATCCCTGGTGCCGTTCAAAGCGCCAGCGAAGCTCTTGGTACCACCGCGAATACCGCCAAAGACACCACCAGTGATGTGCTTGGCAGTGCTGCCAATGTTGCTGCTAGTGCCGGTACCCAGGTGCAGGAAACCGCCGCCAACACTGCTAGCTCAGTCCAGCAGACTGCCGCTGACGCTACATCGACTGTTGCAAGCAGCCTCCCGAGTGTGCCAGACGTCACTGGCCACCTACCACAAGCGGTCCAGAGTATTCTCCCTACATCGCTTCAACCCGCGTTCCAAAACAGTCAGGCTCTTCCTACTTCTGCCGAGGTCGAGAGGTCTCTCGCGGCAGAAAAGGCATCACGCGTTGAGGGGATTTCTGCAGCCGTTCCTATTGAGGTCAAGGATTCCATTGAGAAGGCTGGCGAGTCGCCTGAAGCTACTACCAATGCCGCCGCAGTCTTGGAGAAGCAGGCCGTTGAGGCCGAGCTGCTGAGAGAGGTGAAGCCCACACGGGCCGAGCCCCCTGCCGTTGCCGTGTCGGTTCCATCAGAAGTCAGGGATTCCCTACAGCAAGCTGATGAGTCTCCCGAGGCTGCTGCTTATCCTGCCGCTGTTGAGGAGAAGAAGGCCGTTGAGAATGAGCTGCTGAAGACTGTGAAGCCCACGGAGTCCATCCCGCTAGCCTTTGCCTCGGCGGTTCCAGGAACCGTCAAGGATTCCATCACAGAGGCCGGTAAGGCTCCCGAAGCCGCAGCCAATGCCGACGTTGTAGCGGAGAAGACTGCAGTCGAGGCCCAACTTTTACAGGAAGTCAAGCCCGTCGAGGTAGTAGCCGACAAGAAGGCTGTTGAGGCTGAACTCCTACACGAGGTCAAGCCCACTGAGCCTGTTGGTGAGTCGTCCACAAAGGCAACAACCAATGGCACGGCAGCCAATGGTTCAACAGCCGCTGCTTCCAAGCCCGCTGAGACACCGGTCACTCCAACAATGCCGACAACTACGGAGGGGTTCCCGCCGGCTGCCAATGGCAATGGCAAGGTGACTGAGCAGCCTACTGTTACCACTGGCCCTGAGACCACAACCACGACCACGCTCTCTACCTCTACCACCCCAGAGAGAAAGAAGAAGAACCGAGTCAGTGGTTTCTTCAGTAAGCTCAAGCACAAGTTCGCTTAGAGACAAGGATAGTGCATTGAGCGTGATTGATTCTTCCTATTTCTTCCTTATTGCTGTCATAGTCTCGTTCTAAATATTCCCCATGGGCTGGAAGGTTGATGAATTGGTGGGATGCAATGCGTCTTTGGCTTTGTTATTTCTCTCATGTCATTGGGCACTTATTGTCAGATAGAAGCGCACATGCAATCAATCGTGCGCTCATGCCCGGGTGGATAGGCCCCTTACGCATCTCAGAATCTTTTGTCCTTTTGATCTGTTACCCTTCTGCTTTTGTTGCTCTCTCATGATGCACCCGAACGATGGAAGGCACATGATGATGGCAGGAAACCGTCCTAGCTACTCCACCTAAACTTAGTCGTATGTTTAATACTTATTCCTGTCAACAGTACCTGAACTAGGTCCTTCCGGCGTCTCACTCTGAAATATGATCACGCGGTATGGAACCAGGGGAGATTGGACTTAGTGAAAGAACAGGCGCAACGGTGATGACGTTGTCCAAAAGTTTCCAATATTGCTCTCTCAATTGTCGATTTATTCCAAGTTATCATGGACATCAATGTACTGGATGTGGGAAGCTAAGCATGATTTGGGCATTTGTAATCGAGGATACACTTTGAATTCTTATGTTTGCTACACCCCGCACGGATTTCGCAGTGCCTTGATGAGATCCCTATAATCACCGTCAACCAATGATTATACAGACATGACCAGGTGCTAATCTTGAGTCCAATTTCCATATGCAAGATCCATAGTCGCCCCTGTTCGTCATTTTTTGTCCAACTGGGTCAACACACAGTCCCTCCGTACTAGGGGCCATTATGTCACAGTCCGAGGTGTTGGCTTGCTGAAAGTATTGCGATGCAGGCGTCATACTACGAAGTAGTAAATACCAATACTCTAAGTTTAAATAAGAAAATCCTTTCATTCGAGTTTCACCAGCAATTTAGGCTGTCAGTATATTAAAAGATGGTGCGTGCAGCGTTGTGGCAGTTTTGCAACGGCCACCGCGATTGTGGAGGAAGGCATGACGGGAAGTAGTGCACACTAAGATATCGGCCCCTGCAGATGCATACCTCAAGGACTGCATAACCAAATCCTGCCATCTAACTGCATTTAAGCGCGATTACAAATCCCTGTCTCCCACTACACTGTAGCTCTCCCTTCTGCATATATGCCAGTCAACGCATAGCGACCTTGCGGTCTTCCACAGCATATGAACTATATGCACAATCAGGGGCCAATACTTACAGAATCGTAGTCAGCTGACACTGGACATGACAGGGCAGGCACTTTTGGCCAGTACCTGTTTGGGGTACCGCAACGCCTGGAAAGTTGCAGCGCCTCGCTCCCACCTTCAGTTGCCATTTGCCCCGCGTATCTCTTAGGTACGGCAACGAGAGACTCCTGCCCGTCCTCCAACTTCCTGCTCGTTCCAATTCCTCATGGGGTCCGAATCTGGACCCCTTCTCAAACCTAATTTCATATACTAGCGTTACCAAGTCTTTGCCGCTCATCTTCTGTTATCCTTGTGTCCATATTTCATCCCGTGCGTCGGTCTTTGCATCACGAGGTTGTTTCCATTCCCAGAGAGCAAAGACCTCGCGTCTGAGATAACAGACGTCATTGTCTCCCTGCAACGCCAAGAGATATGACAACCGTGAGGTGATTAGGACAATAAGGTATTATGCATCAGTCAACCTCGTCAGCTTCTCAATCTTCCTTTTGTCGGGATTTGTAAACCCTGCCGCATGTCGGGGCCGCTTTATGGGAAAAGGTGCTGACAGCTTAGTGAAGCATTGTTAGGGTTGTCTTGCCACCGGAGAACTACTGGAGACCAGGTACTTGAAAGCGAAGCATCTGATCCACCGCAAGAGGAGCACGCTCACTCAAGCCATCAACGCCTTCTGCCAAATATGAACTCGACCCTATCAGCCCCGGGCAAGTCCCTTTCCGCTCCTCAAACCTCCAACTTCTCGCAAGCCTCCTCGCAAGCACCCCCACCTGTGGGCTTTGATTCCGCTCGACGCCAAGGTACAGGTCAAACCCAGGGATCAAGCGCTTCACAATCCGCCCCACGGAGGAATCAGGGCGCCAGACGGCAACATAGAGACATGAGGCGCCCCGGCGCAATGCGGCAGCAGAGCCGTGTGAATGATGACGAAGACATTTTGGCCGAAATGCGAGCTATGCGGAATGCTTCGAGCCGTCGCGGACAGACCTCCATTACACATTTGCTGAATTTAAACCCTCCGCCTCGCCCAGTCTACGACAGCACTCACAGCTATTCCTCCCGCTCTTATCGCCGAAACCCTAGCTATGGCGTTGGTTCCGGCTACCATTCTATGGACAAGGCTCGCTATGTTCATGCCAATTACCGATTCGTCGTGTCACCCGGTGGCAATTACACGGCGCAAGCATCAGACGCAGACGAACATCTCGAATGGACCGATATCCTACAGATCGTTGCTTCAACAGAGTCGCAACAGACCTCATGCCCAATCTGTCTTTCGGAGCCCGTCGCGCCACGCATGGCGAAATGCGGCCACATTTTCTGTCTGCCATGTCTTATCCGGTTCATGAATACGATGCCCAATGATGACGGCCGCTCACACCCGGAAAAGAAGCAGAATCGATGGAGAAAGTGCCCCATCTGCGATGATACAGTCTACCTAAACGAAGTTCGCCCGGTCAGGTTCTATGCCGGTCAAGAGAGCGCCCTCCCCCGGCCAGGCGAGGATGTAGTGCTGCGTCTAATGGCGCGCAATGCAAAGAGCACTCTCGCACTACCCAAAGAAGGCGCTGCAGAGGTACTGCAATCGGGCGATGACATCCCCTGGCACTTTGCCGCCAATGTTCTGGATTATGCAAGGATCATGAAGGGTACTACCGGGTATATGGAAGAGCAGTATGACCAAGAAGTGGACGACTTAACCAAGCAGGAGAAAGAAGATGAACTGATGTTCCACGAAGATAACGAATGGACCCAGAAAGCCATCAGGGCAGTTCATACGGCAAAGGAGAAGTTGAAGGAGCTTGATTCTAGCCAGACAACGGCACTTGCAACATCGGCCGCTGCCGGATCCCAGTCCAGGAAGCGTGATGAGGACCTTGATTTCTTTTTCTACTCTGCACCTCCGCATCTTTACCTCTCACCCTTGGACATTAGGATTTTAAAGACCCAATTTGGCTCTTTCTCTGAATTCCCAACCACACTTCTTCCAAGGGTTGAGCATATCTCTACAGGCAACGCCGTCGACGATGTCATGCGGAAACGCGCCAAATACTTGGGTCATCTACCCCGAGGATGTCTCATCAGCTTCCTCGAATGCAACTGGACTGACATCGTTACCCCTGAGGTTCTTGAAACCTTCAAGGAGGAGATCGAGCGCCGGCGTAAGCGAAATAAGGACAAAATTGCTCAGGAGGAGCGTGAGCGTCTGCAGGCAGAGCGCCTGGAAGCCGCTGCTATCCGTGGTGCCAGGCGTCAGGCGGGCCCGTTAGCAGAGGAAGGGATCATTCGGTATGGTAATGCCGATGCGGATCGGCCCCCGGTGAACATGGACGACTTCATCCCTCTTGGTGCGGAAGCGCCAAGTACGACACCACCAAATCCAAGGACTGGATTTGGTACCCTGTCAGAGATGAGTACCAGCCCGAGTGCACAAAGGACGGTCTGGGGTACGCCGGCTATTCATGGGGATGAGCCGGAATACATGGTGCCCAAGAACCCGGTTGATGATGGCTGGTTGAAGGATGATGATGTTATAGACAGTCTGAGCACGCAGGATATCGCTTTCCAGATGGAGGCAATGGGCCTCGAGAATGGTGCTGGTAGCAGCAGTGCTGCCGCTGCCGCTTCCGCGGTGGGCGGTGCTAAGGCCGGCGGTGGCGCCAAAGGTGGAAAGAAGAAGAAACAGAAGATCACATTGATGAGTACCGGAGGTAGGAGGGGCCTCTAGGAACACTGGCCTGGAAAGGTTAGCAGATTATCAAAAGCCGGGTCATCTCTTTAGACATTTGCGCAACAAGATCATCAAGATATTGGCTTCTGACCTGGGCGTTTGTAGTGTAGTGTCATTGAACGACTTGCTAGTCTCCGCGATGTATCTGGCTTGTATACATCAATCATGGGGTCTCAGAACGTGTTCTGACAAACAGATACTCCACGGCAAGTCTAGGGAAGGGGGAAGTGATCCGGACCAGACTGCAGCACCATGGTTAAGTGGATAATCTGCATAGTCATGGATATGCAGAATCTTGATACTATCTATGTACTTGCTGGTGTGTATTGGAGTGGTTTGCAGCGTGGTCGTTGTATCAGCCGTTGACGGGCGGCCCGAAAACGGGAACTGCTTCTGCATAATGTGGAACAACATGGAACCCTCCGCGATCCCCGTGTGTCTCTTAAGGCAGGTGTCTGCGTAAGAGGACCAGGCATTGGGATATTGATTGGAGTTGAAGTTCCTGAGAGAGTACCCAGGTGCAGATCGCCAATGGAACCAATTTTCCGAGAAGCCCGATCTCCCATGTAGTCAAGGTACACACCACCTCACCGACTATGGCGCATATCACGTATCAGCAAGTCTATCCGCAAACTCCTGGATGGTACCTAGGTACAAGGAGCGTGCAAGATGCAGCAGCACAGACTCAACCATCAAACTGCGAAGGCAGCAACATCATGACATCATCAGCTGTGACATCATGCTGCTGTCTTGCACGTCCATTACGTTCCAAAACAGATCGACCTCTTCTCACAGAACAGCTAAAGCACCTCTCTCAGTTACCTCCACCTGAGAAATACAAGTCGGACTCAGAAAGCTCCTGCGTACAGCCAAGAAGCAACGAAACTCCACCAACACAGCTAGATACGCTTACTCCTCGTACCTATCGATTCACAAGAAACCTGTCGCACCTTTCCACCATGCCGAAGGGTCAGAAGGTAGGTTTCAACTCCCTATTCCATGTTCACGTTCATCTTCGATACACCTGTTGTGCCTAAACCATCCTCCGTCCGTACAACTCAACTAATGCAGAGTCTTATCCAGGTCACCACCGAAAACGTCCCTCCCAAGCACGAAGGTCCCGGCCCCGTCCCTCCGGATTCCCTCGCGGCCGAATCGATCCGCTCCGGCGGTGCCTTCGCCCAAGGTAACCCGTCCGCCTCCGCAGGCGGCTCGGCTTCGCAGAACCCACGGGCAAAGGCCCCCGGCACCGCCCATCAGAGCCACCCCGAAGCTCAGCAACCGAAGCATGAGAATCCCGAGCAGGGTGCGCCGGCGCCGACCTACATTTTCCACCATGGCCGTAACCTGCCCGACCCGGCCGGCCCACACGGCAAGAATATCAGGGAGGTCAAAGAAGACGAAATTGACGAAAGTTGGACCGAGCCTGCAAGCATGCCGGAGCCCGGAAGCAAAGAGGATCCCGGGCGTGCCGCGTTGAAGCGTATGCTGGTCAGCACCGCACCCGAAGTCAAGATGGATACCGGAAAAGGAAGCCAGGAGGGAGGAGACGTTTTGCCGTTAGAAACGCGCGAGGCGGGATTTGAAGCGTTGGGAGGGGATGCTGAGGCTTGAACCCAGAACAGCTGAAGAATGAAGTAAGTGTACGATATGAGGAGGTTGGCAAAAGGAAGTCAAAATCAGAATGGTAATGAACGTCTTGACAGTGGGGACAACGGGACAAGAACTATAGAATGGTAATGAACGTGTTGAACAAGAGAGGGACACTCGTCATGTTCAAATTCAGCGTGATGATAGTCATCCATACATGCTGATGTGTCTGGCAGGTTGAGAAACAAGCATTAGTAGAACGTGAGAACATATCATGTTCATTCAAACATTACATATCATAGTACCTCATTACATATTACCCCAAAGTCCGCCAAGCACAACCCCCCAACACCCCCCCGTCTCTCCTTCACATTCCCAGCTACAGTTGACATGGAGTGTCGCAGTGTCTGCGAGACTGGTCCCCCATTCTTAGGGCGAGGTCGTGTGCAGCACAACTTCCATGCTCTTCGATTACACCCACATTGTGTCCCCAATTCAGCTATCCACACCCCTCGCGGTATTCGGACACAGATTTACCCCAAAACACAACGACACTTGACATCAGCCTTTTCATTTTTTGACGCCCCTTAAAAGAAACTTTCCTCTTTCTTCGCAATTCAAAGAGCAAGACTTTGACCGTTAACCGCTCCCAACTCCCCATATTAAATAGAACGCCAACTGGTTATACAGTCAATCAGTTACCGCTCTCGACCGGTAACTTAGAGCACAGCAGCAACGACACCAGCAAAAGCAGCCAGCAAGCCGCCGGTGCTCACAAGAACCTCACCAGCGGCGTTGCCAGTCGCGGAGGTCGAAGGGGCGGAGGCGGTGTTGCTCGACGCGGCGCCCGTGGCGGTAGTGTTGGCGTCGCCAGTATTCTCGTTGTCGCTGCCGCTGGAAGAGACGGCGGTAGTGGCAGCGGTGGTGGCAGCGGCAGCGGGAGCGGTGTTCAGGCTGGTGGTGGCGACAGCGACCTTGCTGGTGGAGGACGGGTATTGCTTGTCAAGAGCACACCAGGTATCACGGTCGCCCATGGCGGATGCTAATTACGGGGAGAACGACGTGTTAGTATAATTGAAAAGGAAATTACAAAAAGAGAAAGTAATCAGAGGGAGAAAAAAAAGGAAGGGGAGCAGCAGTCTTACCTTTGCGGGGATCGTTGGGGCAGTTGTTGTAGCAGGCAATGATGTTGGGATACTGCGCGCACTTGCAGCCGTAGTCATCACGGCCGCACAAGGCGAGCCTGCTGTTCTCGGTGCCGAGGCAGGTCTCGACAATGTAGGCGGCGGCGCAGACGGAGGTGGTTTGGGCCGCGGCAACGGCGAACATGGCGGCGAGGGGGAGGAGAGCGGCCTTCATTTTGGCGGTTGGGTAGGTCTTGATGAATTAGGTTGCTTGAGGATAAAGACGGAACAACAACAAACAAAAGAAGACGAAGATTAGCAATTACTTTCACAACACGGGCAGGAAATGAGAGAGAGTAAGTCGGCAAGTAGGTAGGTAAGGAAGGAAGATATGTATTAGGTGGGAAAAGGGATCAGATGACCTTGTATATAAGAAGGCCGGTCCAGTAGGTAGATATGGAACGATGAGTCTAGACCCAGAAAGAAAAACGATTGGATATTGCTCTTTCCTGCTTGGTTTTCTCTTCCAATGATATCGAAGGGGCAGGAGAGAGCAAAGAGAGGCAGCGAGGACGAGAAAAGAGAGAGTGTGAAGGGAGTGGACACGCGGTGTGGGTGTTGTCAAGGGTAAAAAGTAAGTGGAGACGGGAGAAGAGAAGAGAAAAGAGTGGTTGATGAAAGGTCCGAGAACCTGGGGAATATGGCTAAGTAGCGTGCCTACACTCGTATGTAGAGCTCCCAATGTAGTAAGTAGTATACATAGTAGTAGGGGCAGAGAGTTAGTCCGTCTATATTCGAAATCCTGGTCCCTGTCAAAGCCATTGTTGACTGACGGACGGTGACCTGTGAGAGTCAAGAGTTGGTTCCGTTCGTTCGTCGTTCGCGAAAGCCCCCTGGAGCATGTCAACCACCCCGGGGTCTGTTTGTATCGATGTATGATGTAGCATGTCAACCCAAGGCACGCTAGTCCAGGTTGAGCATGACCGAGATGCAGTTTTGATGCCGCAATTTCATGTCCCGAAACGCCTCTGTAGCCTGTTCGTTTTCATGGAGGCCGAGCGTCACAAGGGCCAGTGTTCATTTCGCAGCAAACATTGGGGGACATGTGGTGAAGTTGGTGAGAGAAAAGAGATCGCCAGCTGGAGTTTGGAGTCTACGCTAAATTCGCGATCCTCGCTCTTCCCCTGCGCTCCCGCATGTTGGGATCCATGAGGACCCCAGGTCTCTCCACAGTCCTCAGTCTCCCCGCCATGCGGTTCCGCCAGAATGAGAAGACTGTTGCCGGCGCCGTTTTGAGGAGAGGCTCAGCGATGACTTGACTGATGCGATTGCAGTTACGTAGCAATGATAGAGTCTAAAGCCTTTGAAAGTTTGTTGCACTATGTAGTGTAGTGTAATTTCCATGTACCCGCCTGGAGTTGAGGAAACTACTGTAACTTAAGTACTCTGTCTGGACATGCATGACTTGAAAACCAAATGAACGGAGGGTGCGTGCTGATTCGCCAATGGCAGCCCAATCGGCCGCAATGCACCGCTCCCGTAGCGAACTGAGAATACAGCCGCCCGGGGTCTGTGTCTGTGGATTTTGAAGTGGGGGAGACCAAGCACAAAAGTCACAGGAAACCGCTGGGCTTCTTCAATGGCGCAAACTGACCGACGACGGCGGACGGGCCCCCCTGACAGCTGCACCTTTTCTCATCCCCCACGGACGTATGCTTTCATGCATCTAAGCTCCTCCTGTCGACATTTCGAGAGGTTCAAGTACGCTGCCGACATGTCCATCTCCCGGCGATTGCAAGAGGGTCAGAAGACTCGCTTCACATCACACAAAGTGAATTAACCAAGTTCGCCGTGTCACCCACGCCCAAAACGGTCCGCATGAGCAAAAGTAACGGAGCAGCTGGGACAAGATCTCAACTAGGCGGAAGATATAAGAACCAACGTTTGGATGACTTCGACAGTCAGGAAGAGCCTCACGTAAACCAGCGATCAGCGATCTGCACTGCACCGCGGTTCGGTTCGCAGCGATCCAAGCAGCTCATCCATCCACACGGTGCCTCGGGCGCTTCTCCGCTTTGCTTTTACCGCAACCTCACATTGTACAGTAGGTAGGGATGTCGCACCTTTCTCCCACCAACACGGGCTTTCACGGCAGTTGAACGACGTTCAGACGGCAAATACGATGTGTAATATGCTTGAAACATCATGTGTAACTTGCTGAATACGGCGTCACACCCACTTCCTCTGTTGGCCGCTGCTGCTTGGAGTTACACTAGCCAGAGACCGAGCCATTCCCATGGCCTAAATTATCAGTCAGTCACTCAACCATAGCCTTTAATCGTACAAAGCTTCACTCAACTCATCGTTGCATCCTCGATGACGTTTATGCCCCCTATCCTCTTAAAACCATTGCTGCACTAGCTGAGCTCACCGTCGTCAAACCTCTTACATGTATCAAGTTGATCTGCTGTTCCTCTCCTCAGTTCGAGATCCACGCCTCCGATCCTCAACTCTCTTCCTCATCTGCTCCACGGCCTATACACCCCCACACTAAGCTCTTCGATAATCTCAGTAAACCTCCAAAGACGCAGGACAATGATGAGCTCCGCGATCTCCTTGATAACAACATCTACAGCAAAGCTAGCAACGATAGCCATGGCATCCAGCCAGTGAAACTACTCTCCAAAGAAGCTTTCGAAGCCGCGATTATACGGCATGGCCTGTCAGCCAACAAATAATCAATTTTCTTTGTAGGAAGCAAGCGGGAAAAGAAACGAAATTAAAAACTCACCCAGCTCCAAAAGCCTAAACCACCGCCACCAACCCGACCAATAAAGGCGAGCTGACCACCGTGCCGAACACGTGCAACCACTTCCTCGTGTCCGTTACCCTCTTTGCGCTCTCCCCATCCAAGTCGCAGGTTACCAGGGCAACAAAGATGTCAGCGACAATGGAAGCTACGCCTAATGTCACCAGAGCCAGGACGATGCGGTGTCTTGTTTTGGATGAGAGGATTGTCCTTGTTTGTGCTTGGAGGTGGCGGTGGGACCGTGCTGAGGGTGACGGTGGTTCAGGGAAGAGATCGTTCTGAGACGAGGAAGAGGATCAAGAGGTTCTTCCTCTGTAGGATGTTGCTGCAAGTGCGCAGATACGAGGATTTGGAGAGCCTCGCTCTGTCGTTCTTTCTACGAAAATGGAGATTGGGTTCATTCGGAGCGACGTCAGATGCGTAGGATGTGGATAAGTGTTGAGCGCTTGAGTGCGAAAGAGGGGAGGCATTTAAGGGGAAGATCGTGAAGGACGCAGGGTTTGTGTCTGAGGAGGTGTGCTGCCTCACGAAACACATCACACCAATTTGCTGTAAAATAGAGTAGCGTAAGTATGTGATATGCGAGACGGCCGTAGGAGGAGCAACAGTTTCATGAGAGTGAGTGGTCATTCCAGTGACCTGGAGGAGCAAAGAGGCCAGAACGGCGATGATTAGTGGAAGGGCATGGATCAGACTGAATGTAGTCACAGGCAAGTGAGCACTATCTGGACTTGAACATCATCCTTACAAATATGAAGATTCAACAAAAGAAATCCCAATCCCCTGTTTTCCTTGACACAGAAAATCTCGTAAAGTCTCAAAAGTTTACGCATGAAAAAGCGGATGGTCTCCTGCTCTCAACGGAGCAAGATGTGGTCAATCGATTTTTGTTTGACTGAAGCACCTCACAGGCAAATCTGATATTTAATTTCACCTTGACATCAGATGGGCTTTGAGCTTACTCGATATTGTCCCTGGAACTCAAGACGGGACTGAACGTTCATACAAACCACATTCGGATGACACTATGCATCTAGGACCTTAACCCAACCTCGTGTCGTACACTGGAGAAAAGGGGTATCATTATATGCCTCAGTCTCGAGACACCATTGCTTATAGCTCTCCGCCGTTTGTGACAAGCCGCCAAATCTTCAATCCCACACACCTCGCCTCCAGCGCTAGATGGAGCGATAAATCCAGGAAGTTCATCCATCTGACTATGATACACGAGTCCGAACATGACCTGCAAACATACCCCGAGGCAGTTCCTATGTCATGGAGAGTAAAGGCACCGAGAAATTCCATAAACACAAAACCATGCTAACCTATCACCGTGCAAGTCTAACTCCAAAAACATCGATACAAGAGAAAGAAACCCCCAGCTAAAGAGAAAGAGTACACTAGCACATCTTTGATGGTATAATGGTGTCCCAACGCCCTAGGTGCAAATCGCTACCTCTCCCCGAAAATGATGCCCTTCCCAGCCTAACCTGGATTCCTCCCAGTAAATGCCACAATCCTCCAGTTACGCTAGCCCTTGACCGCAGAGAAATGCAAATGTGTTGGTTTGAATGTTCCCCGCCGCGATGAAGCCCAGGTTGTACCCCATGCCCATGATGTACCTCTGCCGTGAGGCATCTGTCGTCTATCTAGCGAAGAAGGCGTTCCGTCATGTCTGTGTTTAGGTGTGGCGGCTCCTTTTCGAGTTCTGGTTGAAGGGATCCTTGTCATTGCCAGGCCCAAAGTTGTCGATTCGAAAGAATTCTGCAAGGTCGACCACCTTTCGCTTTTGTCCTGCGCCACGGCCAAGTGTTCGTGTAGCAGACTGTCTAAGTGCGCGGTTTCTGTTGTTCCGCGAACTTGTCGAGGTCGAAACGGAGCGATTCCTAGGAGCATCGGAAAGCGCCAGATTCTCCAACTTCATCGCCTCCTCATGAGGAAAGGGGTGTGCTGATTGAAAGGTGAATGTTTCCTGCGTTGGGACCACAATCTGGAAGTCGTCCGGGTTGGAAGGCGGCTGTCGCTGCTGCTGCTGCTGGTGCTCCTGCTGTGGCTGTTCGTATTCCTGTTGTGGTTGTTGTTGTTCTTCTTGAGGGTTTCCGAAGACAGCAGGGGCAGGTGGCGAATCTCTCATTGAATCCTCCTCTTGAATGGGATCCAAAGATTGCGCCTGGGGCGATAGTGCGGGCTCGATCTTGTCGTCATCGTCGCTCTCTACCGTGGGGAGATCCCGACCGTCCAGGCGCTCCGTCGCCCAACTCCGAATTATCCATCCTTCGCCGTCACTCAAGCCCAACCTCCTCCTGTCGAGAAACGCCAGAAGATCGTCGAGACAGTCTTGATAGCCCTCGGTGCGCGCCTTTGCAACGGCGGGACCGGTGGTCTTGTAGAGCTTAGTCACCGACAGAGCGGCTGCCTTGAAGGCTTCGAGAAGATCGTTGGAGTCGGCGCTCATTGCGGCGGACTGGTGAAAAAGTTGTATTGTGAAACAAACGCAGCGCTGTTTGCTTGTTGTAGGATCTTGCTCGTTTCCGAAAGGGTGGTTAGGGTGGTTGTAGCCGATTGTGTGGTCCAGAGAAACAAAGAAAAGACAAAGCTCGCTGATGAGTCGGTGATGGTTTGTCAGGAGGAATGCAATGATGTCTTTCGGGGCTGAGGTGGGTAGGGCCAGGAGGGGTTTTTGCTGGAGTATCGCATGTGGGTCACTTCCGTTGCTAGTGGATACGAAGCGAAGTGAGGGAGTTGTCTGGACCCTTTGGATTGGATGGAGTCGCTGATGGTTTGAACAAGCACGTGTCCACGGTACAGTCATTACATGATGCCCAAGCCCAAGTTACCTACTACCTTGCTGTGCGAATACAAGGTGCTAACAAACCGTTCTGGCCTACAGAGGATGCAAAGAACGGGCAATCGATGGAAACCAAGTAAATTTCAAGGCGCAACGGACCGTGCACTTTGGCGGTCGGACTTGAACTTTGGTTTCCCAGACGTGGACTCGAGGCTGGTGGAACTTTCCAGTTTTGGTCATTCTTAAGGTTATCGATGTCTTTGCCAGGCGGCATTCCAGTTCCTTCCAAACACCGTGAGCGTCAAGTGGAGTCAGCGTATCTGTTGCAAAAAAACTAAATGATGACCTGTGCACCTACCTTATCCTCTGCACCATGCGTAATAGGTGGAGATATTTCGATGATAGGTAAATAAATGTATATGTAAATCTGTGTACCTATCGATATATTCGACAGTTGGATGATGTGGCGTCGCTCGTAGTCATTGGAGGTCAGTTCCTGTCAGTTTCCCCAACTCTGTGTGTGCGACGGAGCAAAGTTTAAAGTCGTAGATTCACTGTGGGGGATCATGCAGCACTGGCACAATAACGGAAAGTGAACTACAAATCTATCGATACCTTACCTATGTAGGATACAGTGGCCTATGAATGATAACTGGAAAAACAGATGACGGGGAATGACAGTTAAGATTACCTCTATGTACCTTAGGTAACAATGTAGCTCTTGAAGACGGCCACTCACTGCCCCTGCTTAACCTATGTATGCTGTGCCTGAACTAACCGACTTTTAGTGCAGATGGAAGTCTCAAGTTTCGGCCTCTGCACAACTGCGGGCGATAGGTACCTGGGTAGGTAGCTTCGACTTAGACGAACCCGCCTCCTTTGTGTACCTATATAAACAGGAGTAACACAGGTATCTTGTGGTAGGAACAACGAAACCGAAAGGTTGTGCCGACACTTGCAACTTGCGCAGCATACCTACCTAGGTTGAGGTTTCTTTCTGAACCTCACCGTACGTCAGAGTGCCCCCCGATAGCGTCTACTAGCGTGCGATCAAGACAGGGACCCGTGTCGTCCAACCGACCGGCAGGGTACTGGCTGGCAGACGCCAAAGGCTTGCGTCTCAGCTGCCCGGCACTCGACTTGATCCCCTCCGTTGTCTGCACCGGGTCCTGTGATTGGCTGAATGAGACGCGGTTTCGCCCATTTGGGATCCTCGACTCTCGAGAAATTCCCACCCACAGCCATCTCGACCCTTCAACAAACAGCATCTCCAGACCGCGCTTCTTTCTCGTCAACCTGCCAGTCAACCCCGAGGTCGCTGGCCAACACCAAACTCAGTTCAGAAACGAGGACATTCTTCCGGCTTGCGCTGCAACCGACATCATTCACTGAAGCGCGTGCCAGTCGCGTTTAAGTGGTTTTTGGGCCGTCTAAGCCAGGGGCCTTCCAGTCTGGACTCCGGTTCACCTTTAACCGAAGAAAACGGACAACACGACAGCAACCAAACAAAACCCCACCATCATGGCCCCACGCTCACGACAGCCCGTCAACGACGACGACGCGTCAATGCCTGACGCCCCAGAGACTTCCAATGCTCCCGCATCAGAGATGGTATGAGGCCCACACTTTCAATGAATGCGCCTTTGCGCCACCACATTTTGCTTTTCGCGGCAGTGAAACTGACGTTCGACCGCGGCCGTACAGGAGGTCGACGAGACGCCCGACTACACCGACTCTGATACCAACCCAAATACTACCGAGAGCAGCGTCGCAGGCGAGCCAGTAGATGGGCGTAGGAAGCGATCTGAGGCCAACCAACTACGACGGAGTATCTTCGGCAAAAAACATGATAGGCTAGGAGAGTCCAAGGTGAGCTACTACCACTACCGTACATTTCAGACTGTTCTCACGTCTCGAATCTTGGTCCCCCATCGCAACTGCCCGGCGGGCTCTTATTCGCGATCCTAACTCGGCTCCAGGAAGATGATTCGCTCCGAAGATTCCGCTACCTCCTTGGTCTGACCGACCTTTTCCGTCACTTCATCGAGACAAACCCAAACCCCAAGGTCCGCGAAATCATGGCCGAAATTGATCGCCAAAATGCCGAGGATGCAAAGTCAAAGAAGGGCGCTGGTCGCCAAGGCGGTGCTACTAGTGAGAGGCGTCGTCGGACCGAAGCTGAGGAGGACGCCGAGTTGCTCAAGGACGAGAAGGTAGGAGGCTCCGCCGAAACTGTGTTCCGCGAATCGCCTGCCTTTATTCAGGGCACCATGAGGGACTACCAGATTGCTGGCCTCAACTGGCTAATCTCCCTCCACGAAAACGGCATCTCGGGCATCCTGGCCGATGAAATGGGTCTCGGAAAGACACTACAAACCATCTCCTTCTTGGGTTATCTGCGGCATATCATGGATACTTCCGGTCCCCATTTGGTCATTGTTCCCAAATCGACTCTGGACAACTGGAAGCGCGAGTTTGCCAAATGGACACCAGAGGTGAACGTGCTGGTGCTGCAGGGTGCCAAGGAGGAACGTCAGCAGCTCATCCAAGACCGCCTTGTGGACGAAAACTTCGACGTTTGCATCACCAGTTACGAGATGATTCTCAGAGAAAAGGCTCACTTGAAGAAGTTTGCCTGGGAGTACATCATCATTGACGAGGCCCATCGTATCAAGAACGAAGAGTCTTCGTTGGCCCAGGTGATCAGAGTGTTCAACTCGAGAAATCGTCTCTTGATTACAGGCACTCCCCTGCAGAACAACCTACACGAGCTCTGGGCTCTGCTCAACTTTCTGCTACCAGATGTTTTCGGAGATTCCGAGGCGTTTGACCAATGGTTCTCTGGCCAAGATAGGGATCAAGACACAGTTGTACAGCAGTTGCACCGTGTGCTACGACCTTTTTTGCTGCGCCGTGTCAAGAGCGATGTTGAGAAGAGCCTTTTGCCCAAGAAGGAGGTCAATGTCTACATTGGCATGTCGGAAATGCAGGTAAAATGGTACCAGAAGATTCTTGAAAAGGATATCGATGCCGTTAATGGAGCTGGTGGAAAGCGCGAGTCCAAGACACGGCTCTTGAACATTGTTATGCAGCTTCGTAAGTGCTGTAATCATCCTTACCTCTTTGAGGGAGCCGAGCCCGGTCCTCCCTATACCACAGATGAGCATCTCGTTTATAATGCGGGAAAGATGCTTGTACTTGATAAGCTGCTTAAACGACTGCAGAAGCAGGGCAGTCGCGTCCTCATATTCTCGCAGATGAGCCGCCTGTTGGACATTCTCGAGGATTACTGTGTTTTCCGCCAATACAAGTACTGCCGTATTGATGGCGGCACTGCCCACGAAGATCGCATTGCGGCTATCGATGAGTACAACAAACCCGACTCGGACAAGTTTGTCTTCTTGTTGACAACAAGAGCCGGTGGTCTCGGCATTAACCTTACCTCTGCCGACATTGTTATCCTCTACGACAGCGACTGGAACCCGCAGGCCGATTTGCAGGCCATGGACCGCGCTCATCGTATTGGACAGACAAAGCAAGTGG